TTCAAAAATAAAAAACACCATACAAATATCACCTGTGAAAATTTCACAGGAGAAATTTTTTCATTTCACAAGGAACTGTGTACTTAGCTTTATACGAGAATCCTTCGCGAAAATGTTCAATGGAACATTCCATCTTCATCGTTGTGTGCAGTTTGGTTGTTTTCGGGTGTATTGGTTGGATGCTGTTGATTGTTTGTGCCGTCATATTGCTGTGTGCGCTTTGGTGTGTGTTCGGTCACATGGGTTGAGTGTTCTGAACTACTGTTAGACATATGTGTTGAGGTCGAATTTGCATTTGAATTTTGTTCGAGAGAAAACGAGCTAAACATATCACTGGACATTTCTATGGGTGAGATTGAGAGTGGAGTATGTTTTTTCTTCGATTTATATTTTTGAAAAGGCGAGTATGTTTTCTGATAATTCTGTTGGCGTTAAAGTAGAGTATGTCGTAGTACCGTCTAGCCTCTGCGGTCTTCACGGTTTTCGCGCAACTAATAGGAGAGATAACAACATGGTGTCTTCGGCAAAGTTGTAGTACTCGAGGTCTTCTATAACATTGCTGAAGGCATCTATCTCTTATCTCTTATCAGTTGCGCGCAAATCGCGCACATAAAAAAGCAAATTTTATTTAGAACTTTTTTTTTCTTATCATTTTTTGCGCTTTTCGCGGAACTTATAAGAGATAAGAGATAACTGACTTCAGCAATGTTATAGAAGACCTCAAGTGCTACAACTTTGCCGAAGACACCAAGTTATTATCTCTTATCAGTTCCACGGAAACCGCAAAAAACCGTGACGACCCGCCAAAAATGAACATACTCGCCTTTAACCATTTTTGAGTCGAAAGAAACTTTCTCTTCTCTTTCATAACAAAGTCAGTGAAACATACACCACTCTCAATCTCACCTATAGATTTGTGTCGTCGGTATTTCCAATTTCATTGAACCATACTGAATTGACTCGTATTCCCCAAAATTGAGTTCCTTCCGGTCCATAGTGAGCGTCACATTGATTGATTGGTCAATGACGATGTTTTTCTTTTGCTGGCATAATTGGCAATATACTCGTTTGAAATCAAATTCGATTGGATGTGTACCCATTATGATGTTCGGTACCACGTCGTCAGAATCGAGCATTAGGTCAATTGATCCATCGCCGTTTTCTACCAAATTTGTACTTTTCACCGATTTTTTCGGCAGTTTCAGCAGATTCTTTTTTTTCTCTTCCATTTTGCTTGAGCTCTAACTAACGAATGATGTACGTATCTAATGATATTCATTTTCATAGTGGCCAATTTTTAACCGTTATCCTGAATCTACACAAAAACTCAAGTCAGAGGCTTAACTCAAAGGTGTAATTAAATCTCACTTTCGCCTTTATTCTACTATGTAATGCGGCGCCTCATAGCAGATGAACAGTCTACGTATTTGCAGAGTTTTTTTTCTTCTTTTCTCGTTTCCTCTCTTTCTCTCTCTTTGCAACCGAGAGTTGAAAACATAATACGCTCATACGACTCAGATGAACAGCATACGTATTTGAACCGACGCTTCGTGTTATTTCGAGTTTGATTTCAATACTGTTAAGACGTTGTTCATTTTATGTCAGACGCTGATTAAATTTTTTTGAGTTTTGACATACATTTTTCATACGGCCAAAAGAATCGGAAGGTACGTAAAAAAATTATATTGAAAGTATTTCAATTTTTGTTTATATCTGAATATTATATCGATATATCTCCTTTGAAGTGAAACTGTGCTTTAGAGTGTTATTGTATTTTGTGAAGCATAACATGTTGTATCATTTCTATTCGGTTTGTGCGCATCCACCAGATAGCCACCAACGAAATTCCGCCGGGTGTTGTGATGTTTGCGGTCGCCTGCACCAACTTCTTGTCGGATGCAGAACGCCAGCAGGCCATCGATGCTTTGCCGCGTGCAACCCCCCGTTCTCGCCGTCCATTGCTGATAACTCGGCAAGTAGAAAATGAACGTTGGCATAGTTCGTGGTTCAACAACAACCCATCCACGTACATCCGCACCCACAGCGACAGCTACCTCAATCAATTGTGGCGACCAGCAACCAATGAGGAACGCAATGGTCAACGTCGTAACGTTCGATTCGCCGTAATTGAAAACACCAACATCTTTGCGGCAGAAGCACGTTCACACACGTTGTGGCGGTCGTTTCGACGTGGGTCATCCATCGTATGGATACACTTTTGGGTCCATTCCCAGATGATGGATTCACCGCTCCCCGTGACATCAACAATCGCGACGGAATTCCGTAAATTTGCCCAACCATTGTTGGATGCCCAATCATTGTTGGATGATCATTTTTGGAAGTTTAATTAATTTTATTAATTTTTTTTCAATTTAACATGTTAAATTTGATGTTTCAAATAAAACGAACTGATGGCGTCAAAATAGCTTTTCATGATGACCCATTTATTCTAAATGATAAATCGGCAACAGGTTTAATATTCAATCTTATTTTCAAAACAATCAGAAAGTAATATCTGTCGGAGTGATCATTGTAACCAAACATTACTTAATTGAGATTGAATTTGTCGATGTAATGAAATTACTTATTTACTTTGAAATAAAGAGGAATAAACAAGAAAATGGTCAGAAAGAAATCGCATCATCTCGGTCCATCATGGTCATGTTAAGACAACTTAACACCATTTTCTCATATGAATAGTCACTATAGTTCAAGGGTTTGTTTTTTCTGAATCGATGAAAGGTTTTAGCTATTTGTCAAAGGATTGTTCGTGAATTACGTTATAAAAACCAGATCAAAGCAAAATCTTGAAAATGAAATTTCGCTTGGATCAACGAAATTTTTTGATAACCGTGTACATGGGAATTTTAGAAAACGGCGCTTCCGACGATCAGAACAAGTAAACCTCGTTTAATAAACGTATAATTATGAAAGTACCGTAAATTAACTTCACTGCGAAGTCTACGAAAATTGTTTCTGACATGAAATCAAGCGGAATTGATCAGATCTTAATAAATTCTACTGATGATAATTCTTATTCTTATTTAATCCACCTATTCATTTGTGCATAAATCAATTTATAGTGCAAGCATATGATGAATGTCAAAGAAACGTCATTTTCTTTGCTCTCACTCGCCCTTGCCAATGTGTCAATCAAAATTAACCACTACTGGACAGGACAACCACAGCTCAATATACATATTGTTCTGTTCGACCGCTGTGCACTAGCTGGTGTTAGTGCAAACAGATCGAATTGTAAACGTCAAATCGAATCATACCAATTCTGCGCATTCATTCCGTATCGAGTATTCAACTGGAAAGTGTGATTAAGTGGAATGAATAAGGTTTTTCATGAAAATTTTGAGAGAACGAAGAAAAATTCAATATTTTACAACCAAACCAATTGGCCAGAGTCAAAAGTTGATGCAATCGCTTATTTTGAACGAATATTTCAGCGTTAATTTATTGTGTGTCCAGAGACAACAGTAAATTGAAGGTAAAACGAAATGTACATTGTTTTTTTCGGAATTGAAATGAATATAAAACATAGTTGATTGAATGAATTGATTCCATAGAAGAGAACAAATGAACGCGTGAGAATAAAAGACTGACGCTAGCAGGTTTTTCGCAAAAGCGGGATAACAATCAGTTGCACGGAAGAGAGACATTTCAAAAGGTTACACTCAAACGGAACATTTTATTTTGTCGCATTTTGAATTTTAAAGCCGTGATTACAACAACAATATACTTCTCTCTTGCGTGCAACCTTTTGAAATGTCTCTTTTGTGTGCAACTGATTTTTATCCCGCTTTTGCGAAAAACCTGCTAGCGTCAGTCTTTTATTCTCACGCGTTCAAATATAGCATCGCTACTTAAATTTCATTTTTTTCTCAGGCAATCTGCGGATTCCATCAAAGCCATTGAACATAACCTCAAGCACGTTACAAGTTTGCACTTTGAAGGCAAATACAGGTTATCTTTCCATGATCAATATTTTGACTTGATGCTTTCGATGTTTTCCACTTCAAATCAAGATAGAATTCAAAACTGATTTCAAATCTGTGAACATTTTTTCCGTTCATTCTACAGTGTTTTGGACTGTCGCAAACAAAAAGCACACGCAACAACAATGGAAATATATGATCCACTAAACAGCGACTAAACAACTCAATGGTACGCGGCGATCGGGAAAAAGTTGTACTTGAACGCCGAACTGGCCGATGTTCATTTCGTGATCGGATCAAAAGATGACTACGAACCAGTCCCGGCCCACAAAGCTCACTTGATGACCGGCAGCGATGTCTTCGCGACAATGTTCAATGGGACGTGGAAAGAAAAGGATGAGGTGGAGATTTCCGACGCGTCTGCTGCTGCTTTCAAGCTTTTTCTGCAGTTTTTTCACTTTGGACAAGTCAAGCTGACGATGGAACACGTTGCTGCAGTAATGAATCTGGGCGAGAAGTACAACATGGCCGAGTGTATGGCGGTGTGCAGCAAGTTCCTGAAAAATAATCTCAACGACGACAACGTCTGCCAAAACTATGAGCTGGCAATAATTTTCAAACAAGATGATTTGAAGCGGCTAAACACGAATGCTCTGCTCAAGTCAACTGGTTTCCTGTCATGCGATCAAAAGGTGTTGGCCGAGATTTTGAGACTGAATTGGTTGTCGTGCACAGAAGTCGAGCTTTTCGAAGCGTGCATGTCTTGGGTCAAAACAACTGCCAGGAAGGACGATTTAACCAAAGAACTGGTGCAAACTCAACTCGGTGCTTGGTTTTATGTTTTTCGTTTTGGGTCGATATCACTGGGTGAGTTTTCTAAATTGATTCCAGCTTATAGACATCTGTTCGTGAGCCCTGAGTATGCAAACATCATTCAAATGATTGCAGACAAAGAATTTCAAGCGACAATGTTCAATGGGAATCGTGAAAAACGCTCCGATTCAGAGGGTTGGAAAATGAAAAATACGATTTATTGCAATCGATTGCTCTCGTTAAATTACTCGACTGAACCATACTTTATCAACAATTTGGAAACAACCAAGTTCTCCAGTAACGAACCACTTTTGCTAAAAGGTTTCGGTCTTGATTACACTAGAGAGCATCGTGACAATGAATATAGTTTCTGTGAAGATGTTCCAACAGAAATAAGTATAGTAGAGATAGCCGGTTGCTACACAGTCAAAAATAAATGTCCAGATTTAGGCGGAATTTCGACTGGTAGAGGCGCCCAGTCCTATATTTTGCCTAGTAAACAGAGTTTCAGACGAAATACCGACTAGATTATAAGCGGAATTTCGCCTGTAATGGATTAATGGATAGTACGGGGAGTTTGGAAAAACTCGTCGCTCAGGCTGTTATCAGTCTATTGCGAGACGCCCGTTTATGTCCGTTGCGGACATAATTCGTTGTAGTAGATTGCTTTGTTTAAAATATGATTTTTAGCCTGGAGTCAAACTCACAGGCCAACGTAAACCATTGAATGATTTTATATATTTCTTATAATTGAACTAGGCTGTGCTTGTTCGTTTCCCAGACAATCCTTTCTGATGCTGCGTAGGCAAGCGCAGTCACACATCAAGTGAGATGTCGTTTCTTCCGCCCTTCCGCACAGCCTACAGTCCGGATCGTCACGTAACCTCATCTTCTTTAGGTGATAATTCACCTTTGCGTGTCCCGTTAAGAGGCCAACCGCAATTCTGAGAGATGGTTTGTCTAGACTGATCAATTGATTTGTAATTTTGTTGGACTGGGCGCTTATGAAGTGCTTCGTCTGATTGCTTGAACTCGTTGCTCTCCAGCGTGCGTTAATGTGTTCCTTTAGCCAAAGCTCCGTCTTCCTCTTCACAATTGAATAGTCAATTGGTAGGAATGGCTCTGGGCCAAAGGTCCTTACAGATGCCGCCGCTTTTGCGAGCTCGTCCGCAGTATCATTTCCGCGTATACCAGAGTGCGCACGAATCCAAATCAGTCGAACTTCATCAAAATTCTGCGCTAGTCTTTGTAGTGTCAAGTGGCATTGTAGAACAATTTCGCTGTCTATCACGTAGTTGTCAAGGGCTTTGATGGCTCCCTGGCTGTCTGTGAAGATAGCAATCTTACCCGCTATGCCTCTTTTTAAAATTTCGTTTCCACATTCTGTGATGGCTGTAATTTCCAGCTGTTTCACAGTGGCATTTATTCCCATTGACCCTGAGATATTAATTTCCGGAGAGGCGCAGTGTACTCCGTAGCCTCCGCCCTCGCACTTCAAAGAGCCATCGGTGAAGAGTGCTACGTTGGCCCACTGAAACTCTCTGCAGAAATCATTCATATCTTTTGTGTATCTGACTTCAAAGGTCTTCCCAAATGCATATACTGGTTTTGAGAGTCTGTCTGAATGGGCACTTAGAATGTTATCTATTGATATCAGTTGATTCAGTGCCTCAATGTGTGTGTCTTTATTGTATGGGTTGTAATGTATGGAGGATTTTAGTCTGTAGGCAGTTTTATATGCCTCAGATTCGATAAATTCCTCCAGCTTCGGTAGTGATAATAGGGTGTCGAGTGCCGCTTGTGGTGTTGTGCTCAATGCACCAGTCACACACAAGCAGGCTACTCTTTGTAAGTGATTCAGCTTCGCTCTGACTATTGAAGAAAGTGTTTCGCCTTGCCACCAAACGAAAGCACCGTATGCAATCATTGGTTTGACAATGCAGGAGTATAGCCAGAGCAAGCATTTAGGATTTAGTCCCCATGTCTTTCCTATGGCTGATCTGCAGCTCCAGAAGACTCTGAGGCATTTCTCGACTCTGTATTCAATATGCTTGCGCCATGTAAGTTTCGGATCCAAAATGACACCAAGATATTTCACCTCTTCCTTCTTCGATATTCTGTCGCCAAAAAGAAGAGGTTCCCGGAAGCCACTCAGGTCTCTACGTCTTGTGAAAATGATTATTTCCGACTTTGTTGGGTTCACCTTGAGACCTACTTCAAGATACCAATCTTCCACCAATTTTACGGCGTGTTGAGTTCTATCAGAAAGGGTACTCAAAAACTTGCCCCTACAACAAATCTGAAGATCATCCGCATAACCAATGGCTTCAAAGCCAAGTGCTCGAAGTTTGGTTATTAGGCTGTTCATTACTATTATCCAGAGTAATGGTGACAAGACACCTCCTTGGGGCGTGCCCCTAGTCGCGTGTGCTGAGACTCTTTCACCCTGGTGATAGAAACTAATAGTCCTATGCGCTAAAATGTATTTTATCCAGGCGTTGACAGTAGTACCTATTCCGCAATTAGCAATATGTTTGTCAATCGCTTCGAACGTAACATTGTCAAATGCGCCTTCGATATCCATAAAAGAAGATATCATATATTCATTATTTGCGAGTGTATACTCTGCATTGGAGATAAGACTGTGGAGTGCTGTGTCAGTGGAACGTCCTTGTTGGAAAGCATGTTGATTCCCATCCAAAGTGTTCGTGCCGTCCAGCTTCTCCTTGATATGTCTATCTAATAGTCGTTCCAATCCTTTAAGAAGGAAAGACGACAGGCTGATTGGCCTAAATGATTTGGGAGATGTGTAATCCTTTTTACCAGGCTTCGGAATAAAAGTTACCTTTATATCCTGCCATAGTTTTGGGATGTAACTCAGTAGCAAAGAGGACCTGTAGATATTCTCCACTATCTTTCCTACTAATTTCGCCTGTAGCTCAAGGTACTAGCAGAAATATCGGCTGAATGAGTCTTTAGCTGAAAAAACGCCCAGATGTAGACTTTTATTTTTTGCTGTGTATGATTCCAAAAACGATGTGGTGAAATATAACGTAAATGGAATATTAGAGAATTCAGAGGTCCAATTCGACCTGCCAAATCCGGTTCTTATTAGTCCTGTCGATTGGAGCAACATCCCCCAGAAGAGTGTGCAATAGGTATTCTAGTGAAGTCAAAAGTTCAGATGAACAATGGCATCACCATTCAATTTCATGATGACCCATTTATTCTAAATGATAAATCGGCAACAGGTTTAATATACTATCTTGATTTTTGCCAAATTTGAGAATTACATGTGTCAGAGTAATAGCCCGTTTCATTGTAACCAAACATTACTTGATTGAGATTGAATTTGTCCATGTAATGAAATTACTTATTTACTTTGAAATAAAGAGGAATAAACAAGAAAACGGTCAAAAAGAAATCAATTGGTTCAAGGGTTCTCTTTTTCTGATTCGATAAAAGTTTTTGGTATCACCGAAAAAATTGGAAATACAAACCATTTGTGGAACGAATTTCAAAAGGAAAAACAAGAGTAAGAAATTATTGTATTGCTTCTAAGTAGTAAAAATGTAGAAAAGTCTTTATTGTCTTTTTGTTCAAAGAATGACATCAAAATCTTGCACGGAATGGCTGAATTAAACACATGACGGTAAAGCAATCTCGAATATGTCTCACGAAAGATATCTAAATTGTGGTTTTTAGCAATTTCATTTTTATTTTAAAAAAATTGGCATTCTGAATTTATATGAGATACTTTGGCATTCGATGAATGAGTTTTTTTTAGAGTTAAATGTGTAGTCTAAATGAGTACAATTCGTTCAAATTTTATATATGCGGAAATTGTAACCCAACATCGGATCGATAAATATATCTTTGAATTGAAGCTGTTCATCGTCGGCAATTCGATTATTATTAATATTAAGTACAAAAGGAATTAATTAGCATAAATACGTATAAGATTAGATTGGGCACGATTAAATATACGAATGCTTATGACACAAAAATATTATTGTCCTCAATATGTCGATCAGTAGAATTGGGAGGCGCTGCGTTCGGTAACTGATTAGCATTATTTAGAATGGGCTTGAAGCAATGATGACTTTTGAATAGCTTCAGCGTTTGATAAGCGATAACCTCTTTGTTCACCTTCAACGTGACCTGCACTATGTAGCCATGATTTTGCTCCAGATTCCCCAATTTGAAACGTTCCATACTTTTGGCCAAACTGTTGATCAAACACACACATTTAGAAATTACATCAAATGATCAGAATCGTTTTCTCTTACCTTTCATTGTGCGAACTCATTATACAATCGTATTTCTTATTTGGCAGAAACTTTTTTTGGTATTTCTCGATGTCGCAGGTGTCAATGCTTGTAATAAAATCGTTGAAGCTCTTCGCTTGAATCTTTATTGCCACAATGCAGTAGCTAAAATCAAACAAACGAAACGAATGATCAAATTGTCATTATGCTCGAGTGTGTTTCCTTTAAACAAAGAAAAATAGTGTTATGAAACTCACGTTATTGGGCGTGGATCAGGCGATGGATGCCATTCGATGGTTGATTCACTGCAAGTGCTCAATGAAGTCACCTCTGACACACGCATATCAACCGGTAACATTGGGTAGTTTACGAATTTCGATTTGGTTGTCGCCACCAGTTTGAAACTCCCTAAAATGTTACCACGATTATTTTATACGGAACAAAATTTGGTTTCATCACATATCCACTTACTTCGCTGTAAGCCTTCGTCTGAGTTGGTCGGGGAGAATTTAACCATGAATCGATCATTTTCTCTAAGATTATTGAACTTTAGCATCGTTGCTATGTTTGTGTCCACAACTTTTTTCAATCTCTTGACTGATGATACTTTCACTTTTACTGGATGACCGCAAGGAATGACTAGAAACATGACCCTCTTGGCACTCTGCGTGCCATTTGGCTGTTTATGGAATGAAAAATTGCGATTAGATTAAGATACGAATGAAAATATGTTAATATTCATGTGGAAAATCGGACGAAAAACGGAATTGAAGCCTTTTTTCAGTTCGTACCTTGAACACGAACGATGTTCGCTTGTCAAATTCCGACCATTTACCCAGTTCAGTTTGATCCTCGTGTAATTCAATTGGATTTGTATAGTTGAACACAAGTGATGTTGAAGCTAGCTTAAATATCAGCCCAGGCACCATCTTATGTATGCCAAACACATCGACGAAATACTTTTTGTTCGGAATTAATCCAGCCAGTGTGTGTCTACTTCGCGGACCAGTGCAAGCCAAAGCCGTTCCACGCTTAGCATCTGGTTTGGAAAAATGATAATTTTCATTAGGTTTGAGTCCAACTTGGAGGTTTAAATCATATGACTTTTGAAATACTTTACCAATATTCGAAATTCGATCAACTGGCCGATAGAAGTAATTGTTGAGTGTGCCTTTCAATCGCGAACAGAACATTTTCGGTGATTTTCCAATCACATGATCCATTGCATCGCAAAATGTTCGTTGATTACTGTGAGTGTTTATGGCCAAACAGTAATGCACTGCATGAATGTCGAGTTTGCTGTAAAACATTCAAATTGAGCAACTAACAACGTTTCATTTGAGAAAATATTTAGTAATTTAAAAAAAATCTTTTGAGCTTCACCTTTTGTCCCATTTGAAAATCACTTGACGCTTGTGAATGCGATTTTCGTACCGAATCCGCGACGTTTGAACGTATTGCAGTAGCTTCTGAGCTAAAAATGGCTTTTGTTGCGAAACATTGACGTTGATCTGAGCGTTTCCTTTGGAAGCCACCAAAATATCGTACTGGCCATTCGGTGCGCACGGAATGTTATAGACCGATACATTGGTAAGGAAATACTTTGATAGATTCACTGCGAAAAAATGGGAGAAAAAAAGATGAAAAATGTATCAACTACAGACACAAATCACCCGATTGTGAGAATAAAATTATTTACCCGATTCATTATAAAACAGCTGTGGAATAATCACGCCCACTTGATCGACATGGATGGAAACAGTGAGCGGCGTTGTTTGGTCCAAATTCACAGAAAATCTAAAGAGAAAAAGAAGAAAAAAATGCAGCACAAAAATTATGGATGCAATGAATTTTGGCAAATCGTTACTTTATATTCGAAATGGGCTCCTTATGCTTTTAATAGTCTCAAACGGAATATTTCTTCGTTTCTATTCGTTGTGTTGAAAAATTAACGACTCGACTATCGCCATACACAACTTTCATTGCCAAAACGTAATAGGTTTTATTCCCACTTAATCCAAACTAGTATCACTCGAAATATATAATAGTAACGACAATTTGTGGCCATAAATCAGGGAAAATGATGATTTTATTACAGTTAAAATTACTGAAACGACCATAAATTGTGCGATTGGAAAAATGGAATTGAGAAATGGCGAGAATCCGCGTTGGAATACAGAAAAAATATGTACCATTTATTGTTTTCTCTGTCATTCTCTCTTTTTCGCTCTTTATCAACTCTCACTCTTGCTCTCCGCGCCAAAAGCAGTGCTTGACAATGAGTCATTTCATTGGAACTGTCGTAAAAGTACGTGAGCATGCTCATACATGTGAAAACGATACATAAAAATGCTGTGTGTGTTTTTTTTATTGTGTCGGGCGCTATTCGCGGTACGTAAAATGTGTGCAGACGTCTGGTGCTTGAAACTTCATTCTATCCATTAACTACCCCAACAATATATTTCGTTATCAAGTGTGTTTTTCTATTTTTTTTTCCGTTCCGCTTTACTTCTATATTCGCCGGCTGACTTTCTCTTCCTCTTGTTCTCTCCCTCCCTCTCTGTCTCTCTCTCTCGTGTCTCTCTCGTTGCTGCTCATTCTCTTCACACAAACTGACGTCGTTGTGGTGACAGGCGAAGAAAAAAGTTTACGAGACAATTTGTGTTTTTTTTCCCATTCACTTCAACAATAGTTGGTTTGTTTAAATGTAATTGATGTTTTTTATTTGTTTGTTCACACATGGCAAACTGTAAAATGAGCAGCACGAATGTTCACGAGAATGCCGTTTTTTTTCCCGCGGATAAAACCATCTTCAACCATTTAATTAATTGCAGTCCACTTGTGTGTGCAGCGCAAAGTCAAAACTTACTTTGCGTGACTGGTTGAGTGCCAAGAGGACAGAAACAATATTGATATTTCGCTATTCATGACTGCATATAATGGTGCCAACAATCACGACATGCTTGCAAAACTCGACACACCACATTCAATGATCCATATATTTACAGGTGAATATAGGAATGAACGGCCATTTCCTAGTTGACCATTGACAAAGTGTTATGAGGAATTTTTTGTTGTTAAAGAATATTCATTTGGTAATTTTCAGTCTTCTGTGCATTATATGGTGCTGTAATGCATCGATTTGGATTAAAAATGTGATATCATACGGTCCATCGGCGGCAAATGTCGGTGTAAAGTGTTTATCAAAAATGTCGCAGTTGTATTTGAATGAAAACGCATTGACGAGATCTCGAACGATGGTTGTGGCATACACGAGAAATCTATCAATTCCGGCCGATAATATTCAACGCCAATATCTGAAGTGGGTGCACGAGGCAATCATTTACAACGATTTGGACGAGTATTTTTCACTTTTAACATACTTTTTTACTTTGAAAATATTTTTTTTTTCTTTTTAAATTCACAATAATTTTAATTGATTTTGTTCATTTCTATAATAGAATGGAAATAATACTGATTTCAAATGCTGTAGATGCTAGAAAAGCGTCACATGTGCAATCGAACACAATTTACGCAAAAGACTATTACGTTCTTGTTATGGATGACTTTAACAAGGTAACACGTAATACACACTGAATTGAAAATACAGAAAACGGCAAAAACTGCTAATTATTGATAATAATCGATATATTTTGTGTGCCATTTTTTTTTTGATTTCAGTTTGGTCAGCTGATGCGTTCGTATATTTCACAAGCGTCGTTTAACCCGGGAGCAAAATTTCTCATCCTTTTTGACAATCCAAATGTACAGCCAACGAATGCTACACAAAGAGAATTGGCGTATAAATTGTTTCGTTTCATGTACGATCGCTATAATGCTGCAAACGTTGTGTTTCTGTATGCGACTGACGCTACACAATACAATATTTACGTAACGAATCCTTATCGAAACAAAACTAAATGTGGTAAATGACTCTTTTTCTGCATTAGCACATAATTACTGAGTCAATAAAAATGTTCACGTATTGTTTTTTTTTTGCCTCGGTATGTACAAATCTATTTTTAGGCTCGTTACGGCCAGTTTTATTGGACACATGTCGAAATGGAGTACTACAGGGGAATATTACCACCATATCTTGGGTGACAGAACCACACATACCAAAGGTGTTACCAAATTGTACATTCAAATTTTGTGCTCGCGTTGCTGAACCTTACATCAATGCTGGGTGCACAAGTGGCTTAGAAATTGATATCATTCATGTGTTGCAGCATAAACTTGAATTTAAGGTACAGTTCTACACCTTAGATATCGTCAACCAATTAAATGTTCATATTTTTTCCGTTCATCAAATCGTTTTTTAATTGTTGATTTTATTTCCATTCACCATATTGCCGTAATTTGTTCGCGTGATGAGGAAAAGTGACATTTAGAAATTGATTTTTGATTTGACGTAACGATAGGGATATTTCCATTAGCTCAATTATTTGAATTTGAATTGGTTTCGAAACGTGTTCAGACTCAGTTTTCGTTTTTTTTTTTTGGCCACAGATAAACACATATTGTACGAAAAAGAATCGAGGTGAGCCAGTAGGAAATGGTTCATGGACTGGAATTTTAGGAATGCTTCGGAACGATAAGTGCGATTTTGTTGTTGGTGGCTTTTTCCCTGACAATGAAGGCAAGTTACCACCGCCAGCACATCCCAAGATATTGCAACGTAACAAACTGGCATTAGGCTACAAGAAAGATGGTAATGTAATGTTTCTCTTTTTCACATTGTGTATTCTTAGTGCATGATGACTTTGGTGTTACGTCTGCTTATCTACATGATGCGTATACTTGGTAAGAAATTATACATTGCCCAAAAAATTATAAGTGCTTTTTTCACGGAATATGCGTTATTTTCCGCGTAAGGTACGTTTTCATTGCAAAAACTCGACCGGAGTGGTTGGCAATGCTAATGCTATTTGAGTACATCACTTGGATTGGATTGTGTGTAACATTCATTATGTCTGCGGCTGCATGGTATTTTTTCGGTCGAGTAACACGAGAAAAACTGCCTCATGGACAACCAGCTCTGGTTGCTTTGAACAGTTTCTCTGTATTTTTGGGCCACGCAACCAACAATCGACCATTGTTAAGTCCTCTGCGTGTATTTTTTGTTGCATTAGCACTTTACGGAATGAATATTACCACGATCTATACGTCGAAATTGATACGCGTCTTCACCCATCCCGCTCTGGAAGACCAAATCGATACGATTGAGGAGGTTATCGATTCACATTTGCCCATTGGTGAGTTGGAGTGCAATAGTAGAATTAGTTCAGTAGCATTTGTTTTTTTTTCATATTCCACAAATATTTGATCAAGAAATTATGGGGAAAGTCCCTCAGAATCCGAAATTTTAAACACAATAACTCAGAATTATTGATATAATTTTGAAATGATGAAAATTAAGGGAAAATTAATTAAAAATCTAGGCGGTCGTGAGGAAAACAGGGATTGGTTTAACAATGAAAATCCATACGATCAGACGATATACAGGTTGTACGATGCTACGGAAGAAACTTTTTCGCCGACGGTAGAAAATCTGGCAGATGTGGCGCTGGGAAAGCGTGTTATTTTAGTAAATCGTATCTTCATTACCAGTAAAGCCATCCATAATGTGTATGCGTTGCCATTCAATGTGTTTGCAAATCAATTGGAAATGATAAGCGAACGTGGTTTTCCGTTGCTCCGACGATTCAGTAATTTGATAATGTTCATGAGAGATGCTGGCATCATTGAAAAGCTATACGACAACTTTTACTACAACATGACAACGTTAAATCATATTCGAGATATAAAGAACGGTGACGATCTGAACCAAGAAACAAACATTGTTCTAACACTGAATCATCTGGATGGGACATTTACGGTGTTGATACTCGGCCTATTGATAAGTTTTGTGGCATTTGTCGTTGAAGTAATTGTTGGCACATATAAAAGACGTCGTCGAGCTAAACGATTATGGAAAATGGTGCAAAACTCATGGCGTCAAGTGTCATTAATGCGTATGATGGCGAAAAAGAGTACACGGAATGCGACAAAAACAAAAATTAAATGGAACGCACCAAAAAAACTCGGCAGAAAAGTAAAATTCAACATGTCTAACGACCAGCCATTCAAGTCTAATAAATGGTAAAAATGCTTTCGTATGGGTGATGTGAAACCAAAACTGACCTATAAAACGGTCATCTAAACGAGTGCAATGCATTAAAATGGGCTTTCTTGGCCCAGATCGACTGACGCAATTCAAACACACATATATACAGATATAGAATTCTCTCGTCTAAGATTTTCTGTCGCATTTTTTTCGTGTAGTTGAACTTGGTAACACAATATATATAGATTTGATGCACATAATCATTAGCACGAAAGAGTCACAGATGGTCGAGAGTGCGAGAGCAAGAGAGAAAGAGAGCGATAGAAAAGGGTCCGTGCAAAAATACCAATGCACAAAAAGTCACACACAATCTTCACTTATTATTATTCCAGTAAACACAAACATTAAAACGTGATTATTTCGAGAGCACATTCGCTGCACAGCATTTCGTTCATTTTTTGTTTGTTGCATCGGTATTTGATGTTTCGCATTCTACACATAAATGGCGCTAATGAACGAAACACAGGCTTAATTGCATTTTAAATTCAAATTTTACGGAGCAGCAGCAGCCCAATTCAGTTCAATTCAGTTCCTCTTTTTGCCTCCGAACGCCACGCACCAATGGAATTTGATGAATTATTTCGATTTTTTTCCCGGGCAGTTTTTAGTTTGCGCTTAAACCGTCTGATGTCACGGTCTCTTACCGAGAGACCAGTGTGTGTGTGCAAGTGTATCCATCAGAAGAGTGAAAAATAAATGCAGAAACTCAATTTAATCGGAACATACCTTGCATTTTGGCCTTTTCGTAGGAATGCGGTTACAGTTTGTTCGGCGGCCAGCGTATACGTTTGGTTAAAGTTTCGATGAAAACTGACATGCATATTGGCACCATTCGTGCAATGTGCTGAGATTGTGGAAATTCCATTACGTTGAAACAATGTACCGCAAAAAAAGGCCGTCGCACACGTCAACACAATCGGCCAGATACTCTGAAACGGCAAAACAGCAGCATTTGAGAAAAATTCACCTTTTTGTTTGTTTGGTTGGTTTTTATGTGAAAAAAGAGCATGGTGTTGGAAAAAAAGAGTAATTTTGAGAAGGATACAATGAATTTTGTGTATGTGTGTATGTGCTGTGACATGCTAACCATATGCAAATGGTTATGGTTCATTGTATTCCGAATGAAGGTAAAAAAAACACAGTTCAGGTGTTGGATATATAATACGTAATTAGAAGAGTGTCAAATGTGCTTCCTTGTCTACTGTCTGCACCTCCTTCATTTGATCCACTTGCCGAACATTTTCGTCCAAATTTATTTTTTTCTAAATTTCATTCATAATATTGTGTCGCTAGACGTAAATTGATCCGTTTTGCCCCCGTTTTTACTGCGACTCGAGTCGACCTTCAATGAATGTCTGTAATCATGATTTGTAAACGAATCATTCGCTGTTTTATGACGCAAATCACGTGCAAATGTTATCGAATTTCTAATGTCCGAATTTTGATAGCAAATCATAAAAAAATTGGTCAAAGATAAAAAAGTGAGTTTTTTTTTCGGTTTATTGGAATTCGATTTGGCGATTGAAAAATTATGTCTTCGCAAATAGCCGAACCAAGAGAGAGATAGAGAGGGAGAGAAAAAAAATGTGTATATGCCGGAATAAGCAGATAGAATTGTGATCGCGTAACAAATTTTTGCCGTGCCCAGAAACAGAGAATAGTGAAAGAGAACGAGCAACGAACGAAAGAAAAAAGAATCGGTCAAATTCTGAGAATTCGAGTATTTCAGTTGATTTGGTTACCATCGGCATTTTCTGACTCAATAAATTGATAAATTTATGCGTTCGTTGGTGAAAACGATATTATGCAAAATGCAACGACCACTCAACTGCCATCATTCATCTTTTGAGAGAGATGAAAGGAAAAAACATCACCTCAAACACAAATACACATGCATAAGGCAAGCAAAACGGCAGCACCTTGAGAATTGACTTGTCGAAAATTCAGATTATAGATGTAGATTTTTGTCCGCACGTTCGATATGACCGCGTTGAATGGTTGTTTTTTTTTCGCGTGTTCAAGCTTTTGGTGTGCAATTTTTACGCTCTTCTTTGTGCATTGGGCCAGTGCGAGTCGTGGTGAAGGAAAGCTGTGATTTCTAAATTCATATCAATTTGCATAATTGGTTAATTACCGGGCCCAATTATCCAATTGAAGGAGAGAGATAAAGATGGAGAGAGAAAAAAGATCTTTAGGGCCTACGATGTCGATCGCTCAGATTTCAAATCAATAAATTTTCCTTCATTTGCCAATAGCTCGTTGCATGTGTATTTGTGCTGTTTTGCGTGTGTTTTTTTCCTCTTCTACGTGATGCTAATATTTAAATATGTTTTGCGTTCGCATATTTTACTTGAAGTAATAAATGTTTACGCATCAATCACGGTATCGGTGTAATGGTTTTTTTGCACCGTAACTGTTTCGTTCGTCGGTCATTGGTTTTGACCAATATTTCGAGCTGATGGAAACGTAGCTGAAGGAAAAACACACAGAGACATACTGTGTGTTGCGAACGCGTTTAAAAATCTCGTCACATTTTTTTTTTAGTTTCGCCCAAGTCATATTTTCAATGAGTTATTTTGTTGATTTAATTTTTAGTCGGGGAGTATTTTTCTCTTTTTGCTGCCCGAATATCACGGATGGTATATGTGTTTGTGTGTGGTTTTTTCTCCCAAATCGATCGTCTCAAAGCGGACTCTATTGTAGCCTGTTTATACTTTTGTTGTTGTCGTGGTTCGTCTTGTTCGTGTTCATACATTATTTTGTGAATTGGCTGTCGTCGTTTTTCAATATCCTTATAGTACCGCGCGCGCGCTCTCTTTCTCGTTCACAACATTCAGTTTTTTCGCTCGAATTAATAAATTTAAAATTTAAATTTGTTATGCGCCAGCAATTTGAACAACGTGCGCGCGTCACTTTGTAAAAAGGGTCTCTTGAAAAAACATAACAACTCTTTCTCACAAACACTGCACCAAAAACGGCTCTGTGAAAGCAACGAACAGAGGAAAAAAAACACAGTGAGTCCGATGATCGCCGATTTCTCATTATTCGAGCCTTGTTCGATTCGGTGAGAGATGATTTTCTTTCCTTTTGCGTGACCTTCTTTGGTGATTCAATCGAAAACATTTTTGCTAGTAGGTTCTGTTCTCTCCCTCACTCGATCCATTCTTGCATCGCTTTTGTTCAACTGTGCACAGCGCACTTCTTTTGCTGTTGTTGCGACTCGTTGTCGGGTTTGTTTATTATTTGTTTTCATTTGGCGGCGTCAATATAGTTTGCAATTCGTTCAAAAACAGTGATTTTTACGTTTATGTCGCTCGTTCCTTTTTCAAACGAATTCGGCATTTACGGTTTTTTTCTTCGCTCCGTTGTTTTTCCTCTTCATGCCACAACACACACACACACACACACGAAATTCCGTTCGGATCACAAAAATATTGTAAAAATTCAATGCATGACATCTGCACAAATCTCAAAATTAAGAAATAAAAAAATGAGTTTATATATCTCGGCAAGCCAACGACTGCATCGAATCCGATTTATTTGCCGGCATGCTTCTTTTACACTTTCAAATTTTGCAATGACTTTAAACTGAAACTGAAAATTGTCAGTCGTCGGTCGTCGGATTTTTATTCAGTCTTTTTTCCCTTTTTAACAAGCACACTTTAGCCGAACAATCGAATGATTATTATTTGTCAGAAAATCACAGCACACAATGAACTTATTATTTGATAAATAATAATCATATCGAAAACGGCCAGAGCACAAGGAGCACACTTACGAAACAATGAACGTTTTTTAGCGATGACATGTTGATGTAATGGGGTGCAGATTTCAACTGACCAAAGTGAGTTAGTTTTCTCTGGCTGTAAGGCACCCAACACGAACTATCCACTTAACTTTCAACGATATGTATAAAAATATGTGGTTAATTCGTGTTGCCGGTTAGCCACAGCGTGCCTTCGGAGATTCGAATACGGAATGTGTTGTGCAACACACAACGGAACGCTCTGTTGCGGAGCATTAAATGCATCAATATGATACGAATCAGCTTATATGTACATATCCGTTTTTGGCGAATGCTTTCTTGAATATGCTTGTTAACGCAAACCTACTCGCCCGGCCGCGTGCTCACACGATATAGCAGTTTTGCTATGCGTCTCCTCAAATCGCTGTTTTGTTTCATTTTTCCTTTGATTTAAGTAGTTTTCAGTGGATAATATTGTGACCAACCAATCTTATTCAAACAACAACGCATTCTCGCCGCGTTGCATTGAACAGATACATGGCACTCGGTTTTGCAAACAAAAATTTAGAAAATGTATAGAGAGAGGACGCAATGAGGTGCAAAAAAATCACAGTAGCAGCAACACACATAACGGAAGGAAAACGACGATGTCGTTTGTTGAATAAATCGCTGCCTCTTTTCTTTCTCACTCTTCATTTTGTTCAGTTTCTACCGCCACGCAAACTACTGCACAAATCGAGCGCAAGAGAGAGAGAGAGAGATAGGAGTGCGTATTTTATCACAGTCAGTATGTGTTTGTGTGTCGCAAATGGACTCATATGCACTTGGTCAACGGATACGCTCGTACTGTGTGCACTCTGCAACAGCTCATCACTTGCATACGAAAGAAAACCGACTCTCGATAACAAACGATCATGTCACCGCTTGAAAGAGACGCATATATCATACTGAAAAGAGGCAGTGACTATCCTACACACATGACACAACAGAATAAAACGTGTGTGCTCGACTTTAAAATGGTTTATTTTCTTACACGGTTTCAACGCACGCTTTTTGCAAATGGGATCGTTGATTTTTTTCGTAACGAATTATTTGATTTTGATTACTCTGAAAAATCCACGTATGATCCAAACTTTTTTAAGACACTTCAAGATATTTCACTAGATAAAATAGATTAGTTGGTTGGCTATTGATATATAGTTTGTTTTAAAAATAGTTTATTGATTTGCTAGAAACGGTTATTGATTGACAAGAATTGAGATGAAAAATGATCTTTTGTTGAAAAAGTTAGAAAATATCTATACTAGAATAAAACGAATTTTTTTCTAGACTATTTTAGTGTTTACGGTAAAAATATTGTTTGTAATCAAGATCTTGTGAGTTTAATTAAAATTAAAGCTTTTAACCGATTTTTGTAGTCTGATTTGTACTGTGTCTTTTTTCGCAATAGACAGACAAGGTGTTGTAAACATTTCTGATGGATCCTTTTGAATATTTACGAAGATTTTTTGTAAGTGTAACGTTTCAAAATTTGGGATTTTCCTTTTGTTTGCTTCTTCAAGTCATGTCCAAGTCGCTTAAGAGCCGTAAGTGCTTTAATCGCTCTTTCCAATGAGATGGATAATTCTTTCCGCCAAAAATCAATGTTGCCATCGTCACAAAGGTCAATTTTGCCATCTTCGTCATCGACGTCAATTTTTGTCTAAATAATGTTGAAAAAAAAAATGTTTCAATCAAGCTAAGTTTTCATTCAATTAAACTTTTTTTGTGCTCACCAGATTGATTGTTGGCATTGCTGATGAATGTTGTTCCGATGTCATCAAAAACTCGTTGATATCTGGAAAGTTAATCTTTTTATTATCTTTAACACATAGAAAAACCATATTGAACCCCTTACTGTTGAGCATTTCTCGAGCTTTGATGACACCCAATTCCAGCTCTTCTGCCGTTTCCATTTTTCCAATGTTTTTATCCGTTTTCTCAAAATACTCTTTCTACGTACGATAGTAGTGATTGATAGTTTTCACAAATGTTTACTTTATCTCACGAATTTCTTCAAATAATCTAAATCAAGTTTATAAATTCCAATATATTGGTGGACTTATAGACCCAAAAAAATCACTGTAACCACTGAGCGTCTGATCGATTTGAAATGCTGATGCTGAATGCGCGCGCTATGGCATGCTAAAATGTTCATGTAACTGCGGATTTTTTCCTAACTGTCGCTAAAATACAGACGCAATTTTTCGTCAATCCTTACTTGCAATGTGACTCTCGATTGGCATACCAATACCGATTTAAAATACGAAATGTTTATTTGCGATTCGAATTAAATGTCAACATGTTTTCTGCGTTGCGAAGCCCTGGGAAAATTCATTCCAGCTTATTTTTTACATGAAAAAAAGACATATGCATTATATCCTCAACTCATGTCCATTGGAAGCTAAACACAAGTTGTCATTATCTTGAAAAGTATCGCCGATCCGGCGACAAAAATAAACATTTTTTTTTTGAAACCACGTTTTGTTATTATTCCAAACAATGTTGACGTTCTTTGTTTAAATTGAAAAACAAAAAATGTTAAGATAACCGAAATTTATTTATGAGAAGTAACATGTCAAATTGGTGGTTATGCGATCCAAACATTATGTCAATTAAATGGAAACAAACACATATACACAGAATGTAGTTGGCGAACGACAGAAATGCCGTTAGCGATTCAGTTTACGTTTGTATGCCGGTGCATTTATGTCGAGTGTATGATTCCAAGGCAACCGTTAATAAGCCGTGTGTATTTTTTCGATATTAAGTAAACAATCAACAAAGTAGTCGTTTATTCGATTCGAATATTCGCTCATTTTATTTTCCGTTGCAAAGAATAAAAGAAATTCATTTTATTTCGAATTGAATGAACGTGCATTGAAAATGTCGTTTGCGAGTGAAACTTTGCCCGTGAATGCAATTGTTGCTGACCATCCGCTGTTGGAAAAGTTCCAAGTCACACTAAAAGAGCATCTAAGTCGAATCAATGAGCAATTAATAAAGGAGAATGCTGAAATAGACAATCAAATCCAAGTATTGAACGATGAACGTGAGGAAATTGGTTCAAATTTATACGATTTACAGCTGAAAATCGACCGTCAAAATGAGGATTTGGATGCATATAATAAACGAATCTCGGATACATTCGAGAAACGTGTTAAATGCGAAGAAGATAATCGACAATCGAAAATGGAATTGAAACTACTGCATAATTTCCATCGTGATGCAAAGCGTATACATGCCGACCGGGTGGCTGAGTTAAAGAAATTGCAAACCTTAGAGCAGACCATTGATAAGTGGCAAAAGGAAATGGAACACAATTTAAAAGTATCTAGACTGGTGCTCAACAAGGACAAACAGGAAAAGGACCGCATTAGCAAAGAGAAACGGGAAATGGACTTTTTATTGCTAAATATTGAAATGGAAGTAATGTCATGTGAAATGAGATCTGAGCAAATAGTCAAGGAATTGACCGAACATGAACAACAAGTCGAAATGTTAAATGCAAAACTCATTGGTTCAAATGCCGATTTGGATGCACTTCAAACGGACAATCGACGTTTGATTAGCTCGTGGAATGAGGTGATTCATGCCATTTCGAACAGGGATAAATTATTGGCCAAAACAAATGAAGAATTGACGTGAGTGTTTTCTTTTTGGTTTGTTATTTGTATTTCGTTTTTCATTGAGTCTAGACAGAATTAATTTATTCATTTACGTTAAAATGTCAGCAAGGAAAACGAACAGATTAAAGTGATTCAGAACGATATTGACGCTACGAAAAAGGAGGCGACGAAGCAAATGGAACAAAATGAAAATCTTGAGCAGTTCAAGCAACGCCTTACCGAGGATTTACAACATCTGAGTAAACAATGTAATGAAATTTTTTAAATTTTTAATCTAATGATTTTTTTTCTTGATTGAAGTAAACTTTTTTTTAAAATTATTCGAAATTTGTCTAGGTCGAATATATTCAATTCATTTTGAAAGTATTTAATCTAGTTGAAGTCATTTCTGTGGATTTTAATACCTTTATCAAAGGCCCTTTATTTTTGACATTTTCCAATATAAAATCTTTCTCGTAATCACACAGATGACAAGGCAATGCGTGAGCTGGCTGACTTGAATAGGAAAATCGATAAATTCACACTGCTAATAGAAGAAACCGAAAAGTCGTTGCATCAAGCCTCTGTCGAAAATCACCTTCTCGATGGAAATTTAAAGTCCCTATCGCGTGAGCACGAGCGTCAAGTGAATAACAAAACTGAACAGGAGAATCATATTTTGGAATTGCTACAAGACCAAGTGACCACGGATCAAGCGAGTAAAAAACGTGGTCGACACATTCGTGATTTGCAAAATAAACGCAGAAATATGGAGCTGATGATGAATAACACAGAGGCTCAGCTATCGGAAATTCTCTTTGAGATGGAAAAATTGAAAGGAATCAGTGCACGAAGCCGAGATTATGCCGATGATTTAATTGTAAAGTATCTAATGCATCATGTTTTTTACTAATTGTTTTCTTCACCGTAAATTATTGGTAGCAAATTTGCTAATATTTAATAGGCAAATATTCAATTGACGAATACTGCGCAGTAAGCGTTCAATCGTACCATTTTGTGATAATGAAAAATGTTTTATAATAATAATATTGTTGTTTATTATCACTTTCCCGAAGAATTGAGCTAAGTGCGAGTTTACGTCATGTGTCTGCATACACATGATTGTCATCTTATTGCTCTGATATCTTTGATTGTGAAAATATTATTGACTTTCGTCATGTAGTGCTATAATAATATTTAAATAATTTCATAGAATTTTTTTATTTTTCTTTATTTGCAATATTTTTGTAAAACGAACGTATTTATTGTGACGTATTTGTCATATTTTTTTTACAGAAAGAGCAGATAGTATTCGAGCAAAAAGCAAGAGATTACGATAGAGATTTGCAAATAATTAAACGAGCCATCGAAGAGAAGCTAAAGCTTCACGATCGTTTGAACAAGCAATTAGCCAAATTAATTGAAGCAGCCGGAGGCAGTGAAAATGATCCACTGCAACTCAAAGTGAGAGCAGTATAATTTCATATCATTTAATTTAATTCATTGTATTTTCCGCATTTCTTTTAAATAAGTTATAAATTTTTGAAAATGATTTTTCTGTGGAATGTAATGAAATATAATGAATATTTTTAGATCCAAGATTTGGAAACGACAATCTCCCAATTGGAGATCGATATCAAAAATGATCAGAATAAATGGCTTCGTTTGCAATGTAACATTGTGTCTATGTCGGAGAAACTAACTCAATTACTGAATGAGTCACATTTGGCTCGGCAACGTCTGTATAATGCTATCTCTTTCCCACCTACCTATCTTATCAATGTTTATCATTTTCAATTGCAGAGTTGCTCGTAGTTGATCAGAAAATGTTGAAAGTCGACAGTGAACTGGTCGATATTGAGAAGTCTGATCAAAATCTCATCCGTGACATCGAAAACTTGAATACCAAATTGGATATTTTGAGTGCAAAACTGTGCGATAAGCGGCAGAATAACGCCTCCGAAACAGAGCAATGTCAATTCGTGCACATGAAACTGGTAGATAAGCTTCGCGACGACGAAATGTCGGCAATTCAACTGGAAAATGAGTTGATTTCGATTTCCAATGAGATCGATGAACTGAAACGAGTTGTATTGGATAGACACCACTTAGCACTGAGCTGGGAAACCAAATGGAAAATGATCGAAGAAGCAAAGCGGCAAAATGATGAAGAGTATGCAAAGTCGGGTGAAATTGGGTCGATGAAAATGGAAATTCGTCGCATGGAAGTTCGTCTCGGCGAATTGAAACGTGCTCAAGAAAAATTGGTGGCCGACATGGAATTGTGTGTTCATCATCGTGAACACATCTTTGATCAGGCGAATATGCGCAACAAATTGCCACACAAAAAATCCAAACTAATCGACACAATGCAGTATCGATTCAATCAGTTACAATCGAAATTGGGACAGGTCAGAGCGGAAGTAAAGGAGATTGAAAAGCAAACAAGTAATGTTGTGAGTGCTCGCACAGCCATCGAAGACAAATTGAATAAACTCAATCAAGATATCGATGATGAACGGACGCAGTACATGTTGATGCAGAATGAAATTGAGCAGGCAGTGTTGCTGAAACAGGAGGTAACAATATAGCTAGTATACTTACCCAGTAACTTGGATTCCGAGTTACAGATTGAAACATACCTCAAAAGATTTCAAACTTTTGTAGAAAATATTTTCGATTTCGTTCAATTTCTCCGCTTATTTCAGAACCTAGAGCTAATCATCCGCTTGCAAAATCGCGCAAAACGCTACCGCAGTGTTGTTCAAGTACAGCAAATTCCAAAGAATCGAGCCGAAAGTGTGGTTGATACACAATTCGATCATAACAAAGACATCAGCCTGAATTTGATTTCAATTTTAGAAGATTTGCTACACGAATTCCCAGAGCATAAATTCTCCATTCAACGAGTCCGGCAAACACTCAAAGATTAAACCTCGATACTGAAGCAATCAGCAATTATTACAGCTATTGACAGCAGGTCATTTAACTATTCACATCCAACATATCGGAAATATTTTCCATCTTGCTTATACTAATTGCATGCATTGATAGTACATTATATAGTACTTGATCTTTAACCGCTTTGCATCACTTGATGAACATTCTGAATTATAATAATGGATTAAAACCCGAAAAAATCTTTTTTGAATTTGAATTGTATTAAAACGAGTCCATTTAAAGACTTTTTACGAAAATAGTTTATTTTCATCATTTTTATAACAATATATAATTCACAGAATGTCTCTCACAAAATATCTAAGTCGAAAAGGAGTATTTCATATGAAAAGATTGTAAAAATATTGCTGTAAAGGTAAATTGCCTTTAGCAATTCGTAAAACTTCGACATTTAGAGTTTTTAAACACGCAAATACAGATTTTTTTTTAAATACAAACGTTGCGTTTGTTTGAACAAATTTGAAAAATTAACAATTGGGTAAAAAGTACAAAAGCTGTGGAAACACTGAGGAAACATTTTTTTTTTCAATAAAACTATGAATGTTTCAGCATTTAGTGACAAAAGTAGTGCGAAAAAAATGGTATGCAATACAAAATACATCCGGAACTATAGATAAATTCACGGAATTTGATGCGATAACAGAAAAAAAAATTCGGTTTGTACGGTATGTTGTTTATCAGTTGAATATTGTCGGCTGAGTTTTTGGAGGCTGAGCGTTAATAGGCGCGATAAACACACACCATTAAATTATATTGCTTTTTAAAATTCACATATGAATATATTCGGCTTGAATAATAATCGCGCTCTTCTCTTTTGACTGCAACCGAAAACAGTTTTTTTTCTCTACAATTTCGTAATTTTGACGTACTATCAAAGACGACGACGACGATGAATAAATTCAATTAAATTTGAACAATGAACGTGATGCAAATTAAATGCGAATATAAATTGCCTTCGGTGATTACAAACACTCATAAGATTAAACTTAAAATTATTAGGATCAAAATACAGAGAGAGAGAGAGAAAAGAATTAATTGTGTGAAATTCTCGTTGAAACTTCCTAAGATTTTTGGTATGATTTCACGCAGTTCAGCAACGATGCAACACTGCTTGCATTCACTTGTGCGACAGTTGCAAAGACGTGGATAGAGAGAAAAATAATCCACATTATGCCACTGTTACTGTAGTTGTTCGTGTAACGACATTTGTTACAACAACATTGTATTGTCGGTATTTCAAGAATGCATCATAGCCATACGCACACATTGCTACAAATCCAAAGAACTGAAAACAAAAGAGAGATAAGATAAAATATATGTGGAATAATTGATGTAGACTTTCTAAAATTAAATTCGAATTAGTTGTGGATCAGAAACACTTACAGCTGCTGCGGTAAAGAGACCAACTCCTTTGGCGGCAATAAACGCAGAAGAAAGCATAAGAAGCACAGTTTCGGCTGCGCAGAAATAGAATTCAATTTTGATCCATGGGATTTTGTGGAGTACGTAAATCGCGTGGAACAGATACAATACGAGCAAAATGCCGGTAAACCAAAATCCAATCATTGCAATGGTACTGAAGAATTGAGCCGTTGTAACGCCACTGTGATCACTACATTGTATCAATATGAAACCGATTAGCACGAAAGCCTAATAGAGAGAGAAAACAACAGTTGTCCAATTAATCACGTGCAACATTCCGAATATTTCGCTATTGAATATGAATAGGGAAAGAAGAATGCCATACCATGCACACAACTTTCAAAGTACCGGGAACCGTGTGTAGATAGATGGTACTGTAGTGGATACCAGTTTGTTCGGTGGTTGTAGTTCGGACCTGCGGTGTAGTTGGCGATGTTTGTGGTGGTGATGACATTTTTGTCGTTGTTGTTGCTGTGGCTGTTGACATATAACAATTAAAACTGCGGCCCCTTTAATTATTCAGTAGAGACGTCGATGTGTCTGAAAATAAGCAAACCGCAATAGACTATTAATTCAATTAAAAATTGTCGGTCACGCCTACCACGACCATGCGTAGAATGCGTTAATTCAATAAATGACTAAGAATGCTTGTGTTTTCTTCATTGAACTGAGTGAATGATCTTTGTGGCTGACCACATCGTAGTGAATTGAACGAGTGAATGCATTGAATGAGTAATAGAACGAATGACGGACTCTCATCGAATCATCGATTGACTTGATCGTTTTTGTTTACGTGTACACAATTGAGCATACATTCTTGACATCAATGATGTCATTAAGTTACAACACTTGCCCCGGAATATTCAAAAATCCACTTTAAAAATAGCCACCGAGTGAGTAAAATTGACTTGTTATTTTGCTCAAAAACGAGAAAGTGGACAAAAAATCGAGTTTATTACATCACACATAGACGGTATCACATACACTCACTACGCGAGTGATAGTGAAAAAAAAACCTCTGTTTGGCAGATGATAAATTTTTTTAGCGGTGACCTAATCCATGATTATTATTATTGACATCGGCAACACGCTGCCACAAATTGCCAATACTCATTTTACGATCAGGTTTAAATTCATTTCTTCTTCTTATTCACTTTTTTTCGCACGACAGTCACTGGGTGTGGAAATCGGACGTACATATTGATTGTTTCTATTTTAAATGCATTTCATTCATTTTCCACTGAGTGAACACGCCGTACGCAAACAACCGACGCCGTTTGCGCCATGCGAAAGATCTAATTCACCATTCATTCACTATAAATAATGTATTTTGCGCAATCAATGCGTCCAAAACAAAACACATAAACGCCCAACACACTTGAAACGAAATTATTACCTTGAACCAGTTTCGTTAAATCGTATTGCTTTTTCCCTTTCGCAGATGTACGTCTTATGGGTTTCTTTTCAAAATTCGCTACACTCCAATTAACACCACAATGAGATAGAGAGTGTTTACAATTTTGTTTCTTTTCAAACAATATATGTACACAAATGGTGGGTTTATTTACAAATTTGCTCTCTCGACGTCTTTTGTTTTATTTCAATTAAATGCTATGCGCCACAGAGTATTATTTACGGTCCAACTGCTAATGGAACATTCACAAATCTGATAGTGCTGCGTTACATGAATTCGTTCACAAATCTCGTTCAAAAAACAACTCCCGTCTGGCGATGAGATGAAAATTGGTTGAGAGCGAAAGGTAGGCGTTTACACGCACTAATTTTCAAAATCAAATTTTAAACCACTCACACAATACACACGACTTTTTAATGTGTCACGACAACACGTAGCACCAGAGAAAAATTCTAACCACTTTAGACGAGCGATGCCGACAATTATTAATAAATATTCGTGATGAATCTACTTTTCTCGGACATTTCACCGATTTACAATACGACAGCACCCGACGAAGACGACAACGACGATATATAGTCAACAACAATAATAAACGCAATATTAATCCGCCACATTCACATAAAACAATCACAATTCTAAACACATTCACACACTGTGCCTGCTGCTACGTAAATACCAGTGTAGCCACCGATTTGTTTGTGCAATACCATGTCTGTTGCGTTGTGTCATTCGATTTGAGGCACTCACTCTCTCAATTGTATTCGCATTTGGCAAAAGAGAGGGAAATGAATACTGAGAGTAAACTTGACCGTTGACGACCAGAAAAAACAGTGAAAATGAATATTTTCTCGAATGAATTTGGCTTTTCCATATTAAAACATTTTAATTATTGATTTGTATAAAACAAATTTGTCTCTGAATATTTTCTATTCATTGCAAAAAATAAAAATTTCCTCGCCCAGAATTCAAACAATTGAAAGAGTTGTCATTGAATGAATCCCATCATGTCTAATACACTCATCCAATCTGACGTTCTCAATTTGACACAAACTGTCAAACACACTATTTGACTTCTGACACTTTCCAGTCTGAAAATACTAAATTAGTGACGGAAAGTTAAAGAATTTCTAAATAAAACCAAAGTTCAGTTTTATTCAATCCAATCACATAGAAATTGATCATCAACATGTCGTATGCAGGATTCACAAAGTTTTTGTTAGTCGTAGGATTTCTGTCACTTTTACATGCCGCATATTCGGCTGCACAACGTAAGCAAACAAAACCCGTCATTTATTCATTTGGAATGCAGAAGAAAAATCAATGATGTTGATATTTCATTTTTAGATCGAACATACCTGCGAGACACCGACCAAGAAAAGACAAATACATTCCTCCCCTTAGATGTGAGTGTGCCGGCAAATTCGTTGAAGTTTTTAATTGAAAATGAATTTAGTTGAATTTATTACTGTTGAAGTCCATGAGATTAATTGTGTGGTATCGTTCCAATGTTTCAGATCATCATACAATCTGTAGCCAGTCTATTTCTTATCATATACAGTTTGCTTCATGTAGTGGGTGACTTCAAGGAAATTCGTGCCACAATCGATTTACAGGCCAAATCATGGGAAACTCTCTCAAACATACCCTCGTTCTACATATTCAATCATCGTGGAAAGAGCTTGTCACGCGGCGCTCGAGCGGCCATCGAAGAGAATTAGACTAATTGCGAGAAATTGAATCGATTTAGTTTTTATTTATTTTTATTTACCATTCGAACCAAATATTGAACTGACACATTGAACACTGTCACCAGCATTGATTGTCATTCAACTTTTTACGGGCCAACGATGAAACCGTGTCTGCCTTTTCGCAGATTTGTAAACGAGAATTAAAAACATGGACAAAATAAATAGAACTAGTTTGAACTCGATGTTTTCAAAGAGAATTTTGCTTGTTATCATTTGGAAATGGAAGGGAAATCAAGTCTGTATTTTCAGTAGTATTAGTAGGATAAGGATAAACAAACACAGAGTCGAATGAAACATGAAACAGTTTCGATTCCAAACATTGAACAATCATTCGCTTTTATTGGCATAGAGACAAAAGTTCGGAGGGAACAAGAAGGTATATTTTCTTCCCTAAAAATGAAAATTGAATTTTATTGTTGTTGTCAATAGTCGACATCGCGTCATAAGCTTCCGAGAAAAAAAAATCCAATTTACAGCAAACCAAAGCACAAAAACATAAAGTCACCAGAGGTGTGCAACATAACCTCAATTCCGTGTTATTTTCGAAATGTTGTTCGAATGCTATTGTTCTGATGTGACATAATTGACAGTCTTCGAATGCTTCAAAACAAAAATCATCTGCTCGAACAATGACAATTCAGTGATTTCCTGGAACGCAATAAAACATAAACAAAGCTCTAGTTCGCTGCCAAATTCTTTTTATTTTAATGAAATTCGCACGGATTTTCATAAATGTTTCAAGGCAGAATAATTGTTAATACCGCAAAAAATGTGTAAGTATACGAAATGATGTTGATTGATCAAGGTCAAATGCTTTGGTTCAACGTTCTGAATGAGGAAGGGGTTTTTTGCGTTCTTTCATGAATTACGTCTTTCCGTTCGCCTAGTGTTGATCATTATTCGCTGTTTCGATCGAATTCGTGGAATGGATTTTCACCGAATTTAAACACAAGACGATGGATATCAAGCGGAGAACTGTCTTCAGTCCTTCGACCGTTCTATTTTGCCGTACATCCGGATTTATTTGGACAACATCCCGAGCAACGAGTAATTAGAACTGAGTTGTTTTTATCTTGAAAATTTGACAAAATCAGTTAAGTATTGGTCCATTTTCTAGACAACAAACGAAGAATCCTTGAAGCATCTTAGCGCATACCTCGAAGCACTACAAAATCAACGGCTGGCAAGCATTTCCAAACCAAAACACATCAACTTTTATGTCAGAGATCAAAAGTCCAGAGGTTGGATCGATTATCATTAAATTTTTAATGGAGATAATGATTATACCGGTTTTTATTTCGCAGATTCATTCAAGTTGATTCGAATACCGTTGGAGAAAGAGCCGGATGTGAAACGATTCTTGAAGCACATATTAGAGTCATGTAATTTGTCGACGGAGAAAGTGGAAAAGCTAAAAATTAAGAAGGTATCAACCAGTGCCAAATTCCATACCGATCGCAATGTATACTCCAGACCAGATGGAACATTTTACGAGGAGTACGAAGTGTATCGAACTGAAGTGCAGAAGGCCAGACAAGACAAAACGTTGAAGTGCGATTTAAACATTTCTAATGAACTTGTTAAATTGATTCTAATCGATTTGGTTTTTCCCGTAGGAAATGGTTAGACTCAAATACGAAGACAGCTAATGAACGTTCTGAGTCATTGCAAACGATTCGGGCTGACGTGGAAAAACTGGAAAAACGACTTGTGAACAATATGAAACTGGTCGGCATTGAATACGATTGCGATTGGAATATTGAACACATTCGCGGGTGTTTGAAGAGCTTGGAGCATCTGTTCAACATGCACACAAATGAAATGCAATGTTTGCAAGGTATGGTTGGTACTCTGAACGCTTGAATGCTGCAATGAAATTTGAGATAATTAAGTTAATTCACGTTTCGATTCTTGTATTTGCAAATGTTAAACCTGAATTTCTTCTGTTCTCAATTCAGGTCGAACGATTGTATTTGCCAGAGCATCAGGGGTTAGTTTAGAAGGCTATATCATGCTATCGCCTGAAGATGTGCAACATAATTGGCTAGATGTAAGTGGAGTATTCGCTTTATATTGAATCAATCTTTTGATGAAGAAAATGTTCGTTTTTTCTTCAGTTTTTCAAAAACATCCCAAAACAAGACGAATATTTGCAACATATACCAGCTTACGAAAGGGCTCTGTCTCAGGTGTTACGTGGAATTAAAATTTCTCGACGAAAATTTATGCCTAAAGCACAGGTCGTTCATTATGCCGCTTATTTACGTAAAGTCACCACTTCAATGTTGGACTATTTGACGCAACACTCAAACTATCCCAAGACTTGGCCAACGGATTTGTCCAATTTTGAAATAGTCATTGAATCGTAAGTATCCAAGTGGAGAATTGATTTTACATACAAAATCTAACTGTGTGTTCAAGCAATGATTCGACATGTTGCTAATTTACTTCTAATTAACAGCGAAGCTGGCCCACTATGCGTCAGCCCCACCGGTCAGTTTATCGCTCCATCCACGTGTCCTGGTGCAATTCTAGTCGATTTCTTATCAACGCATATGAATGAAGCCGCCGAAAAAGCAGAAGCATACAAGAAGTAAGTGGAAATTCCAAAATGTGCGAGTCAACTGTTTATTCAAATCACTGAAGTGTTGTGTTTTTAGTGGAAGAGAATCAACCATCGAGTTTTCGAGTTGAATTTATTGCAAATGAAATATTTTTGTCAATTTCAGGAATAAATTCATCGAGAGAGAATTACATGAGCAATGTATAAAAAAATTGGGCCTGGTTTCATTGTCAAAAGACGATTCAGTGGATCCGGAGCGCATGATTGAGTGCTTGACACGACTGGTTGACTCTGATGTTTGCTTGAAGGATTGCAATCTACACATAACCCACTACTACTCGGTTCTGTCAGATGGGACAATGTGTATTCCATGGGATTGGACGTTCGAATAAGAATTTTCATCCATTTGATGGATGAAAACTAAAAATCGCAGCTGATAGTTTAGCTGTAACCTGTACAAAAACTAGGAGTTTTTAAATTGTTTTCAAAAAGAAATTGTTTTTTTTTCTTATCATTGTCTGAATATTGTTTGGCCTAATTCAGTTATTAGTTTGTAGATGTACATATTAGCGTGAAATTCAATTAATTGTTTTCAATTTATTTGGGACAATAAAAGTGTGGATATTTTTTTCCAAGGTTTGATTATTTTTTTCGAATTTTCATTGATAAAATCACAATATATTATTTTAATAATAATATTGAATCAGTTCAAATCGTTCGGCATCGATCTAAAGACAAACGTACTGTCAAATTTAAAAATAACAAAAAGTTTCAGTTGATTTCGAAATTTTTCCAATAGGGATACTATCAAGTCAAACGGCATTATGCTCAATACGAAATGGTTTGAATTGAAAATTTTCATATTTCTTGTCGAAAAAAATTGATTTAATAAATTGTTTTTGGAAAATTTCATTGAATCAAATAACATAAAATCCGAATTAAAAATAAAAATAATTTTTCATCACCTCAAAGTGAGAAATAAACAACGCTCGCAACGACCATTCTGATGTTCAAAATTCGGCGTTCGGATGTTTGGATGTGTCAAAATAGCGGTGGCGCTGTGATCATGGTACTCGGTGCTTGGTGCGCACGACAACTCATACATCGCGTTCGGTCATTTCATTTACGAATTTGAAGCCTGGCGGACAGAAGTGAAAAAGAGAAAAAAGCGAAGTGAAGTGAATAAAAAATTTTAACCATAAAAAGAAGAGAATCTAAAGGTAACTATTACGATGGAAAACCATTGAAAATCATTTGTTTTTTGGAAATATCGTTTGGCAAATGCGTTTTTATCTCGATTACGGTGTAATTTTCGATGGATTTTTATTGCGATTTAAATGAAATAATGTTTGCCATTTTTCGTCGCTTTGACGGTGCTACAGAGTCTGAAACGCGTGAATCGTATGCAGTGAATGTATGTGGATTTTGGTCGCAAAGTAAAGTCGTGTGTTAGCCATCTTTGAAAAAAATGATTCGATGAATTTTTTTTTCGTTCGGTCTTTCAATAAAAATTTCGATTGCGTATCAAATGCTGTAATTAAATTAAATCTATTTTTTCGGTGAATTGATTTTTTCTCGGTAAAATTTTAACAAAATCATTTTTACGCGGTCAAAAATAAATTTAATCGGTCTTTGTTCGCTTATAAAAAAAAAATTATATGTAGAACCGAAATGTGGTAGTCAACATCACAGTTGTATTGAGATACATATATACTCGATGTATATACATATATACATATAAATGGTGACGACGCCATTGCAGGAGATATGTATATTCTGAGGTTTTTTTTGCTTCGTTCTGTTCGATCTTCGGTACATTTTCCACTTGAGCGTGAATATGAGTAAAAGGAAAAAGAAAGATAACGCGACGCTTCTAACTGTATTTTCGGTTCATATGATGCCTTTTGTCCGAAACCATTTTTTTCCTGATTCCAATTCTTAAACAAAAGCAACAATTTCTTGCTTGCCAATTCGGCTTAGTCTCATACCAATTTCATCCAATTTAAATTCAAATCATTTTTCCGCATTGTTTCCGTGTCGCACAGAAAGCGTTCAACTTGGTTTTGAGTGCATTTCTCTGTTCGACTGTCCATTGTTCCAAGCCATTTGGATGCATTGCACCATTTTCTTACACTTTCTCAAGTGTACGGCCTTTTTATTGGTTTCGTACACGTTCTCAACGCCACATATACGGTCATGTAATGTGAAAACAACGGAAAAAAAGTTTGTTGGCTTGCAAAATCGATGCCCATTTTCGGTGTTTCACCAAAAACTATTCATGCAGCAACAACAACACAAAAACCGATCGGGTGAAATCGACGAATCGCATATTGTGCTGTGTGGTGTGTTGAAACAAAAACGCTTATACCGTTATGTTCGGCTGATGCTCCATACACCACGTAACACTGTGGAAAAAACCCAGAATTGATCCTTTGCTGTGTGCTCACACCAAGCGGCATTCAGTGCAACATCGCAACCGAATATCATGACGAATAGACATAGCCTTTGGTCTGATATTTTGAGTTGCATCTTTTCGATTGAAACGTGAAACGATGGTCAGGTCAAGTTACATGACTTTATCTTTTGCTCTGCGTCATTAGTTGCATCGTATCTCTTCATTCTCCATACGATGAATCACATTTTCTTCGGTCGTCTTGTTTAAAAAAAACACGTGTTTACTCATCACTGCCGCGCACAAATATCGACTTTTTCACGTCAAAGGGAGATATTTTTTTTTATTGAAATCGAGATAAGACAAACGCGCTATATTGCTCTATTTATAACATGCCGCCTAGTTAAGTTTCATTCGTCTCTAGCCCGATTTTTACGCATTTTTTCTCTCTTTCTTCCCTTATTGACAGATATCAAATGCAAATTATAAAAAAAATTGAAAGCGAAAAAAATTAAAAATCATTATAATAATTGTGCTTTTAAAACATTTTCAAAGTGAAAACCGAGATAGACAAAGAAAAAGAAACAAAAACACTAATATTCAATCGAAAGAAGCATTTTTTGTGCGTTTCAAAATAAAGAACTTATTTATTTCGAAGTGAGAAATAACGAATGGAAAATAAACAAACATTTGTGGTACTAAAGACATATAAATATAATGAGTCGGACATAAAAGACTATTTTAAAGTGAATTAGAAAAAAATACCGAGAATCTTTTTTTTTTGTAAATTTGGCTCCAATTGAATTGGATTTTTAGCGTGAAACAATAAAAATTTAAATGAATTTCACTTGTTAGAAAATTAACTTGAATTTAAAAAAAAAACAAGAAAGAGATCCTAAAGAAGAAGATAAAAATAAACGTGTCAAGTTTTCAAAGTAGCAGAAAAAAAGTCATTGAACGCTTGAATTGTTCTTATTTTGTTAAATTTTCTTAACATTTATTTTAGCATTGTATTATTATATTATAATTTCTATTTTAATAATCAATTTAAACAACAAAAAAACTACCAAGAACGCAAATCGATTCAATTGTACTGAATCGTAGCACAAAGAAGAACATTAAAAGAAAAGAAAAACAATCGTTTATCCTAAATAAATCATTATCGTGCATATAATCATTTTGTGTAAAGGCTAAAGCCAAGTGTGATCACCTTTTTTTATCAAGATGATGACAGAAAACATGTCGAAGAATCACCTAGCAAACCATTCGGGCCCAAAAAGGTAATTGACTTGGTTTATTTTTAATTTTTTGAATAAGAAAACACATTTTTTTCGATAATTCATTTACTTTTGGAGTAAATTTAGTAGTGATTTCATTGCAATTCCAACTCATTTTTGCTAAAAAAAATTTATTTGATTTCATTTTCTTTGTTTCATTTTATTGAGTTTTCTTTCAAAACATTTCATTGAAATAATTTCAATGAAATTCCATTGAATTTTCGCTATCATCATTCATCCGAATTCCTAATCATAAAGAAGCCATTAAACATACGCGTCATTCGTTCATACAATCCCTTACAGCCAATCAGTTGAGTAAGATGGATGTAAAAATTGCATTTGATCTAAATTATGATCGGCTAGAAAAAACGGCATGCTCTGCTCACTCCATGGAATGTTTGCCCCATTTATCAAGGGAATCATTCTACCATCGCAGAATAACACTTTCTTTGTAAGCAATAAAAACTCTGAAGAACAATAACGAATCACTTTATCGATTTTAATCGACTTTCACAGTTGTTTCTTCCTTTTCAAGTTTGACATTGAACCCATTCAATGCCAAGCCATTTCGAACCATTCTCCAACCGGCACCTCTTCTCTCTTTCATTCGTTGCTTCCTATTCTCATTTCATTTTCCAACATTTTTTTTTTCAATTCAATGGCGAATATCCTTCGCTTCTATCCATTACAAATAGCCAACCAATTAAGTAAGAGAAATGCGACGATTGCATTTTATCTAAATTATGGTCGGCTAGACTAAACGGCATGCTCTGCTCACTCCATGGAATATTTTCCTCGTTGTCTCAAGGAAATATTCTACTCATCGCAGAATAACATTTTTGTTTCAACACTTTTTTTTTCAAAGATTTGAACGAACACTTTGTTGAACATCACGAAGTTTTTTCAATTTTGAAAAATTTGGTTTGAGCTATACTAGACAATGCTATCGCTATAAATATTCAAAATCATTCAGATATAAAAATGGCTTCGCAAATGTTTAACTCTTTCATCATTCTATAAATTTCATTGGAATTGTGATACAACGGAATCAAAGTACAAACGACTGGGTGCTGAGAACAGCACTTTTTGTGCTTACAATCGCGTTTGTGTTGCTCCATTAAAAATAACACGAATGGCCAACCTGTTGAGTAAGATAAATGTATACAATGCGTTTAATCTAAATTGTGGTCGGCTAGATCAAACGTTATGCTCTGCTCACTCCATGGAATGTTTGTCCCGTTTGCCAGGAAAATATTCTACTCATCGCAGAATAACAAAACAAAAATTCATTTCAAAGAATGATTTTTTTCTCGTTTTTCCAATTATTTTACCCCATTGGATTCATCATTGATTTTTCGAGTCGATTTTTAACACTTTCAATGTGATTTATTTGTTTCGTTCCATACAGCGATGGTAAAATCGTGTCGACAGCAAATGAGCTGGACATAACTGGTTGGAAGCAAAAATTGAAGGTCCCACCAAAGGATATGCGCATCAAAACCAGCGATGTGACAGACACACGTGGCAATGAATTTGAGGAATTTTGCTTGAAACGTGAATTGTTGATGGGCATTTTTGAGAAAGGATGGGAGAAACCGTCACCGATCCAGGAGGCAGCTATACCAGTTGCATTGGGTGGCAAAGACATTCTGGCGCGTGCCAAGAACGGTACCGGCAAAACAGGAGCATACTCGATTCCGGTGTTGGAACAAATTGACTCAACAAAGGACTGTATTCAGGGATTGATCATTGTGCCAACCAGAGAATTGGCTCTACAAACATCGCAAATTTGCATCGAACTAGCAAAACACCTGAACATTAGAGTAATGGTGACCACCGGTGGCACTGTTCTTAAGGATGATATTATGCGAATTTATCAAAAAGGTAAGCAAAACATGAGAATTTTCGAATTGAAAACGTGATTTGATATGATGAATTTTCACGGATTCCCCAACATTTAAACAATAAATGAGAAGAAACGATGCTGACTCACTCGACCATTTCACAATTCATTCATTTCGACCGAAATATATTTATATGCTAATGATCGTATATTTTCTTTCTTTCCCTCCCACGCACTATCTCGCTCTCGTTTCCTCTCCACAGTTCAACTTATTATCGCAACACCCGGCCGTATTCTTGATCTCATCGACAAAGAAGTTGCAAACATGTCACAATGCAGAATGCTTGTACTCGACGAAGCCGATAAACTTTTGTCACAGGATTTCAAAGGCATGCTGGATCATGTTATCATGAAACTGCCAAAAGAATTGCAAATTCTATTGTTTTCGGCCACATTCCCACTCAGCGTGAAAAATTTTATGGACAAACATTTGCGCGATCCATATGAAATCAATTTGATGGAAGAGCTAACGCTTAAGGGTGTGACACAATATTATGCGTTCGTACAGGAACGCCAAAAGGTCCACTGTTTGAACACACTGTTCTCAAAGTTGCAAATCAATCAGTCGATCATTTTCTGCAATTCAACGCAACGTGTTGAATTGTTGGCAAAGAAAATCACCGAATTGGGCTACTGTTGCTACTACATTCACGCAAAAATGGCACAGGCGCATCGGAATCGGGTGTTCCACGATTTTCGTCAAGGTTTATGCAGAAATTTGGTCTGCTCCGATCTGTTTACACGTGGTATTGATGTACAGGCTGTGAATGTTGTCATCAACTTCGATTTCCCCAAAATGGCTGAAACTTACTTGCACCGAATTGGACGATCTGGTCGTTTTGGACACTTGGGTAAGTCGGATTTTGTTGTTTTATTTTTTTTTTTCGCGAACCTAAAATGTCTTGAATAAATATGATGAATTTTCACGGATTCCCCAACATTTAAATAATAAATGAGAAAAAACGACACTGACTTTATTTGTTTTCTTTTCAATTCTATGGTTTGATTTTCACATTCATTGTTGCCTAAAATGCTAATCCGTTCAATTGCACTTCTTTCGTCTAGGTATTGCTATCAATCTCATCACCTATGAAGATCGTTTCAATCTTCATCGCATCGAAAAGGAATTGGGTACAGAAATTAAGCCGATACCAAAGGTCATCGATCCAGCGCTGTATGTGGCCAGTGCACCAAACGACTCAATCAACAGCAACAATGAGAGTATTGTCAGCAAGTAAGCCAAACACCTCGTTCAATCATTTCTCATCAAAAAGAAAGTACACACACAAACAAAACATTTTGCAAATGAAATTCCGAAGATGAGGACAACTAAAAAACTAATAACAAGAGAAACAACAAAACAAACAAAATGAAAAATATCTATTGTCAATACACTCGCCTACTGTTTTTTTTTAAATCTACCAAATTCAGAGCAAAAACTAAATTAAAATAATCATAAATTACAATATTAAAAGAAAAACACACAAGAAAACATTAATTTTACAACAACAACAAACTAAACCACGTGAATAGAAAGAAGAAAGGATCAAAGTTTAGGTGAAGAGATCAATTTTAAAAAGAAAATAGTGTGAGAGAAATATTATTGTGCGATTACCTAAAACAAAAATCAATGTGCATAAAATCGGATTAAGGAACAATGAAAAAGACAGAGAAAAAAACATACATGTTTAGAATCAGGAATTTTTTTTTTTTTTGTTGCACACAGAATTTAAATATTGAAGGGTTACAAGTCGCGATGTACGAAACACACAAATAAAAACAAAATAAACACACCGATTTAAAATTTAAAAAGAAACCAACATGCATAGGTAAAAAAAACAACCAAAACTGTGAATAACTTTTGAGAAGTGAAAATGTCGGTGCATGCGTTCGATTGATGTGCAACATTAAGAAAAACACAAATTTAAATTACGAAAACCAAATCTGTATGTATATATAAAGAAGCTTTTTTTTGTGTGAAAAAAAAACAACAAATTGAAATTTCAAGAGAGAAAGAAAGAGAGAGAGAAAAATTATCCAGAACTCCGAGTTGGGTTTAATGGATCAACTCATTTTAAGAAGAAGAAAAAACAACGTATGCATCTGACAATTTCTCGAAAGTAATTCATCAACACATTTCATAAAATGCATTAAAAGAACCAACATTTATGAGAGATGAAACAAATCCACTTAATTGTACTACGATAAAATTCAAAGCAACTACAACAAATAACTAAGTAGCATGAAGAATTAAAAAAGAAGAAGAAAGTAAATAAAATTTGTATGTTGTTCAAGACAAAAATGTGTAGGATGAATTTAAAACTCTTTTTTATAATTTAAAAGCAACAACAAACAAACAAACACACACACACGAATAACATGAAACCAACTGAAATGTTCCGAAGCGATAAGAATGATATACAAATAAAACATGGAAATGGAACGTATGGTTAACTGATTAAAGCGAAAAAACTGAATGTGATTTCTTTCCCACTCAAAGACACTCAAGTGTTGGCAAAAAAACAAATTGATCCTGAGAGTAAGAGATAGAGATGAAATTTTGTTGGTAAAATGAATCTCTGCAGTGAATGAAAACGGAACTAAAGAATTCCTTTTGGCCAATCAAACCATCAATCGGTCATTTCTGCCTTTTTTTCATTTGGGTTTCGTAAACAAACATCACACTGTCAAACAATAGACAAGAAATTAAGCAAGAAAAACAAACTCTTCATTTCATGAAACCACAAAAGCAAATCATTCGAATCAGTTTTCGAGTGCGTGAATATTTAGTCGGACAAATTCGAAACGCCAATGGTTATGTTTTAAAAACGACAGTCACACATTGTTTGTCTGCATTCTGTAAATAATTTTTTTTTCTCGAATGGTTCGATGTGTAAATCCGTGCTACACTCATGCGGCTTATGCCGAAAGCCGCGAGTAACAACAGAAGCGAAAGAAAATAACAAAAAAAACCAAAGGATTGAACTCACAACATCAAGTGAATTACGCATAAACATGATTTTATTAAAACAAAACAACAAAATGAAAAAGAAATAATGTAAATTAAGAAATCACATTTGTACATAAAGAAAAAAACCAAACAGAACATCCATTTTGAGAGGTGACAAACGTATGCGTGCTACAACACGCTTAATGTAACTTTTTATTTTGGTTTCTTCTCGATTCTCTGCTGTAAAATTTATGAAGAACATGAAGAAAAATTAACATAAACATTGTCCATTTGTTCATCACGGACATGCTAACAACGATCGTCATGACAATTTATAAAAATCAAAAGAAAAACCATTTTAGAAATGAATGCATTAGAGTTTATCGATTGGCACAACAAAGAAAAAGAAGAAGAAGAAGAAGCAAAAAGAAAATGTGAAAAACAAATTTGTTGAATTTTCCAAAAGTCTATTCGCATAGAGAATCCATTTCATAATGATTTGTCACATGAAGAAGAGAGCGAGAGGATTATTTGCATCTAAGCTATCAAACGTCATTTATACCCAAATCTAGCCATAAGATCCTCTCAATCATACATAGACACACACACACAATCATCTAAATCTATTCTATGCATTTACGTCCCACATTTTTTTTAAAACATTGGCAAAAAGAAAGGGAGTAAGCAAATCGGTATTCAACGGGACAAATGCATAGAATTGTACGATGAGCAACGTTCTTGTTCTGACATTATTTCAACTAATTCCTGTTTAATTAACGTTTTTTTAATATTTAAGTCAGACCATGTATTTTGCCTTGACATCAAGCCAGCTAAAATTCGGCAAATCTCAATCAACTGCTTTCCGATCCCCTTTTGTCACACGCTCTGACAATAAATCAACGATATTTCTCCACATCGCCGAGAAAAACACACACACACACACACAAATTGATCGAAAAAAAACTATTTGAAACAAAACAAAAACCAACTGAGAATGAGATAAACGATAAGAACGAATAGACAAACGAAACAACAAAATATTGTGTATATAAATAATATTTAAAAAGAAGAAACAGCACAAGGTTGCTGCAACAGCAATATACCACAGGCGATCCTGGTGGCACCGATTGTAATGTGTTGAAAAATAAATTGTAGCACACAGGATTTTACTATCGGTGGCACAAGGTGTCGCTAGTGGTAATGCTCTTGCAGCAACGGTGTGAGAAACAGAAGCAAAAGATGAGAAATTAAGATTGGGGGGTGGGTACAAAAAAAAAACAGAAGATTTATTTACATATAGATCATTTTATAAAACGACTTGGCCTCTTTTTGCGAGGTTTTAAAAAGAAGAAATGAAAACAAAAAAAAATGAACAAGATGAAAATTTGAAACGTAAATTCCGTCGATATGAGCCACAGATAGATAGCAGAGAAAAAAAATGAAGAAAACAACAAAAAAATATTTATTTAAAAAAAAACGAACATTTTTATTGTGAAAAGAGGAGCGAAGGGAGGAGAGAAGTAAATTGATGAGAATGTGACATAGGGCAAGGATGATTTGAACAAAACGGTTTGAGTAAGTTTTTTTTCTTTTTAAAGAATTGGGCGCTCAGAAAATATCGTTTATTTTATGCGCGCATCATCGAGAAATATCGTTGATTTTTACCGAGAAAGACTGTTTTCAAATCCCACATGCGAATTTATCTCTCATATAACAAAAGAAAAACCAAACACTCACACACTTACAATATCATTTGCCGAAGATTCTGCGAAGTCAGACTGACTTTTCAATTTGATGCATTTGCAAAAACGGCAGCCACACCGTGTGACCGATCATAATGTGATTTTTTCCATTTTTTAATGAAAGAATAAGAGAAAAAAAAAACTTCCGAAAAAAATCAACTTAAAAAACAATCATCCATCAAATAGCGCACGAAGCTATTTGTAATTGAGTAAACACGCGTTTTTTTTTAAAGTTTTCATTTCGATGACATTTTCTGTTCCGATTCGTTGAGCTTGGCGATTTTGTACATCCCGTTGGTTTTGATGCTCTCGTCGTGTGCAATTGTTACTTTGGAATAGCGAACGTCAACATCACCAAACATTTCCCGAAGACACACAGACAATAAGACCAAGAGCATCAAACTAAGTATGAAGTTGAGCCCAAACACATTTTGAATCTCTTTGCATATTCGCTGAGCTAACGTCGAATCGGAATCGATGTACATGTTTCATACTTCCCCGTTTTTTCCATTACATACCTTTTTTCGTTTGAATCAAAACAAATTTTACGGTGCATTTGGATGCACCCATTCAATTCGGTGTCATTCAATTCGCGCGATAAAAGAAAAACAAATATATTTTTCCAAGGCGAATTCACAACGCATTCGTAGTACTTATAAACTAATGGAGCTAAACTAAAGAAAAACAAAATACGAGTTATCAACATTTTGAACAAAAAGATAAATCCCGTTTATGTTACGAATATTTAAGAGCATAAGAGGAAGATGTAACTTAAAAAAAAGAGATTTGCACAAAGAGTACCTGTTTTTTTTAACGAAACAAAATTTAAAGTGCGAATAAAATCAAATCGAAAACCAATTTATTTATTTTTTGTTGCGAACAACTTGGAAAATAAAAATTGGTGACAAATAACGAAAAAAACAAAATACATTTAGCGAATCAGATCAGAATTACCCCACCTAGAACGGAAGATGTCCGCATGAAACTTAAGAAAAAAGAACATACTGAGTTGAGAGCTGTTTATTCAGTAATGAGCATAACAAGCTCTAGCAGAAGCAAAAAAAAACAAAGCAATTTGAATTTATTCTTTAAAAACAAAAAGCAAAACATCAAACCAAAGCGTTCGCACATACAAAACGAAGAGAAAAACTAAAAAATCGAGATAAAACACCATCCGATGTCTAAGAAAGAGATTCAGACATTTTAAAACGTTCCCTCCTGATTAGCGGTAGGCCAAAATCATTGCCAATCGAAGCAGCGTGTTCATAGGTCAGGGACCATTTTAAAGTGATAAAAACACACAATCATTATTCCTACAAAATTACAGAAATGTTTTTGAAACAATTTTACAATATAATCACAAAATGAAACAAAAATAAATATGCTATACACAACACAACACACACAGCAATAGCCCGAAAGCCGATAAGTCGTTACCAAAAAAAGCAAATACACTCATTTTAGGCAACTAAATTTACCAAATTTTATTTGGTGATAGACAGAGAAAAAAAAATTCACACAGCAAATCGCTTATCGGCGAGAAGTCATTCAGATGTGAACTTGTGATTAATTTGGAATGAAGATCACATTTGAATGGCTTCACATCTGTAAGCACCCATCATCACATATGAAAAAAATTAAAAATAAAATTCGATTTTTCGATCATTGGTGCAGCAAAATTCATCATTTGGCAACCAAAATGAAAAAAAAACTATATCTTATCATACCATTTATCAGATTTCGTTGCATTGCTGTGAAATTAAAAGAAAAAATACCGACCGTGTCATTTCAACTGCTAAGTGATTCGAGAGAGTTCACCAATAAGATAAGAACAAGGAAGAAATTGTGATAATTACAAAGTATGAATCATATTCGAAAACGAAATGAATTGATAACAAAAATAACAAAAACAAAGAGATGTGATATCATAAAGAGAATATTATTTACGTTTGATTGGAACGCTCAAATCAATGAATTTTTTTTGTGTTTTTTTTTTCTCGCGTCATAATTTTGTACAAATCAATTGATTTTCTGTAATTTTGTAAAAATAATTTGAAACAATTTAACACCAAAACCGCTGCTGAAATGGGCTACAGTCATCAGCCCAAATTGAAATTATTTCGATAATTTCCAAGAAAAAAAAAATGAAAACAAAAAAGAAAATAAAAAAAATGCCAACGAAATGTAAAACAAGTAAAAACAAAATATTGGTCCAAACAAACAGCAATTGGTCATTTGAAAAAACAAGAAAAGCAAAATATCAGGGTAAAAATCAGAAATTCCGTATTAGTTTCTGTTTCAACCAAGTCGAAGCTTTATTTTTTCGATCGATCGAAGCAGCGAATCAAAATCTAAGTAGAACAAATTTAGATACAACAAAACAACAACAAACCTTTTGTGACAATTCGCAATGTTCAACGGAAAAAGCGATCAACTCGAATTAGATTCTCGACTTTCCTAGAATTTATAATCGTAAGAAACATTGTAATTCTGTATATTGAAACAACAACAACTGAAAAAAGAAATCAATCACAAAACGTTCACCAAAAACTGAAATAAAATTAAATCATTTATTGGCACCAAAAAAAAACGGTCTTTGTTTTTATTTGAATTTCATTGAGTTTTTCTTCTCTTGGTGAAAGTACTGTTTAGAAAATGCATCCAAAAAGATCTCTTCTAAAGCTTTTGTTGCGATGTCATATGTAAGTATGAAATGTTGCTTGTTTGAAAAAGTGGTTCAGTGAATGAGTACAGCGCCATCTATTGTCCACTGGTCGGAATCGGCCATTACGTATTGCATCGAAAATGGGGTTTGTACGACAGCTACTTTGACATTTGACTCACGTAGATGTAAAATGACAACACAGAAACACATCGCAACCAAATTGATTAGTAGAATCTCGTTCTTTCACACGATTAAAAGGGAAATAAATCGTCTTAAGAAACCGTCTATTTTGTCCTTATTTTCTTCTTAATTTGATTCCTAATCTCGTCAGCGGATCTCGTTTCCTTTCCGGCAATAAATTCATATTAAAATCGGTAAGTTCTGTGACTGATTGCAGTGAGCATGGAAAAGTGACGTGTTGGCGTTTTAACTTCTTCATCCGATTAAAATACAAATCCAATTTTTGACTTTAAAAATCCAAATTTTTCCTACGATGGTTTCATTTTTTGTATTAGATTAGAACCATGGCCAATTACGATCAGCAAAATTACAACAACTGGAACAGCAATCAACAACAGTCGTACAATTTCGAAATGCCCGAACAGTTTGGAAGTGAGCTGTAAGTCACAAATTTTGGTTTGCATTGGCCAGTCTGAAGAAAACAAGTCGATTAAAGAATGAAACTTTTTCAAGTCGATTAACAAATGTCAATGTTGAATTCACTGAAATTAAAATAATTACTCTTTGTTAAAGAAACTTCCAAACGTTTGATGCCACTCAAAATGTGGACCCAAACTCGGGTATTTATGCTAATACCAGCTACAATAACACATACTACGATCCAACTGCATATGCTGCACCAGATCCCATTTATGATGGAACAACCAGCGATTTTGACAACGAGCCACCACTTTTGGAAGGTAACACTTTTGAATGGTTCAATCCAACATTACTCTTCAATAGATGATTTCAAATAATATAGCCGCTTAATGCATCAATATTTGTTCTTTTTACTTCAATAGAACTCGGCATCAACCCAAATCACATCTTACAAAAAGTAAGTCGTGTCCAAAATCATTCTATTTGATCCTGGATTTCATTAAGTTTTGCGTGAATCTAATTAAATTATTCATTACAGACACTATCTGTTTTGAATCCATTCCGAACGACAGATCAAACGATATTGCAAGACACCGATTTGGCTGGACCGCTTGTATTTTGCCTGACATTGGGCTCATTTTTACTTCTTGTAAGTCAGTCAACTTATTCTTGTGATTTTTTTATTGACATTTCATTGAAACTTGGAAATTTTATTTAAAACGATTGGATTTTGAATGGATTGGTCGTGAGAAAAAAATGTTTCAGAAGAAGGTGTTTTTGAAACATAAAGAAATTTTTCTTTATCATCGATAAAAATGTTCAATTAGAAATCTAGCATCATTGACTTTGGCCATTTGCGCACTTTTTTTTCAACCAAAACCAGATTTATTCCACCAATCATGTTCTCTATTTTCATTTTACCCTTTTTGCAGAGTGGTAAAGTTCACTTTTCCTACATCTATGGTATTGGCGTATTAGGATGTTTGGCATTCTTTGCCCTATTGAGTGTGATGGCAACACAAGCATCCGTCACAGTAGGTGCTGTCGTCTCTGTTCTGGGGTATTGTCTCTTGCCGATGGTATTACTTTCAGGAATCAACGTGATTTTAACTATACAGTGAGTAAAATGCCCATGTCAATTATAATTGTATTCGTCATCTTCTTTGAAACCCGAATTTACAGCAACAATTTTCCGTTTGACATTTTCAGGGGCATTTTTGGTATGTTGCTGGCCGGTTTGTGTATTTTATGGTGTTCAATATCTGCTTCGAAACTATTTGTAACCGCATATTCAATGGATCATCAGCAAATATTGATTGCTTACCCATGTGCATTGCTCTACGGTGTCTTTGCACTAATAACTATTTTCTAAACGTCAAATTCATCTGAATGGAATACAAAGAATGTTGAAAATTTGTTTAATAAGACCAGGGTTTACACACAACCATCGATTAATCGATAAAATTAAAATTAAAAAAAAAACGAAGAAATTTGTATAACTTTTTCCACATACTCGAAAATAAACATGTGTGTTTAACATGACCAAAACTATCTAGCGTTTTCCCTTCACCCATTTAGATGTGTGTAAGCAAAAAGCAACGAGCATATAAAACCGAGCGGCCGATGGTGCAATGTGGTAAATAATGATGTGGAATTGGAGTGAAACAGCGTACGTCGCTTGTTTGCGTTAAATTATATTTCCGGAAGCATGAAACATGCATGATGAATGCATATATTTGCATCTCGGGCGCATTCAAATGAATCCCAAAAATTCATAAATTATTTTGTAAAATTTATATTAAAATGTATTGTGAGAGTGGGCACGGCACTCACATCGATGCAATGCATTAAATGGTGCATGTCGGAGTGTTGTTCAATTTCCTCTCTTTCTCCCTCTCTCTTGCATACACACGAGCACACAATCGAATGGATTGATATGCGATATGGATATGTCGCGCGTGTTGATTTATGATATGCTCCTAAACAACGATGCTGGGTAAAATATCAGGATGTTGCTTTTTATTTACTCATGCTTAAAATTTTTTTTTGCTCCCGTTCTCAGTAAACTCAGACTTTGACTTTTGACACGACTGGGTAAAAAAATTATTTTCATGCAAAACATGTCATTGTGTGAAAAAAAAGGCGTTCGAGCAGCTATTGTATGCACAAAAATGTTCGATTGTGATGTTTACACTTGCCACGCTCGTGCAACAGATCTATAGAATAACACGAATACAACAATTGGATACGATGTCAACAACAACAACGACAACAATGCTATAACGCACACACACGCTCTACATACAAGCAAATAACATTAATTTTCTAGTCGATTTTAAATGCATTTGTTATACGTGGAACAATATTATCTATGACCGTTATTTGGTTGATTCGTGCAAACATATGCTTTGCACCATGTATTTTGGTTTTTATGCTGTCGATTATCACACGCAGATTATGAGTTTGGTCAAAGATTGCGGGGAATTTGGATTGGCCACAAATTAAAATCAACTATTTATTATTATGGATAAATTGCTTAATTAGCGACGAGATTACAGATGAAACGGGAGTATTTTTGCTATCAGCGCAATTTTATGTTGATTTTACTTAAATTCTAATTAATTGATGGTTTACATTCATATTCAGCTTGAAGTCGGAAATAGAATGAATTTCATCGCATCAGAATAGACAACTTTGGCACATAGCACATTTCAAAGCCATCAATTTAACTATACACTCGCATTTATTGCAGTGATAGATAAAACCACGTCTCGTGTCGAAACCTCATCTCCGAATGAATTAGACGGAAATTGTGTGCCACAATTTAATTTGGTTGAAATGTTTATTTTAGTTGAAATGGGTTTTGGTTTTCTTCTTTTCTTCTTTTCTTCGGTTTTTTTCCTTCAACCATTTTGCCGTTTGCCGTTTAAAAATCTATTTTCACTGTCGCTATAAATTATCCCATTAAATGTTCACTCATACCAACTTAATTTGCATAGCATAGCATCATCGTTGACGTCTTTTTATTTACCCTCTCGTCGTTCGGTTTACGGAAGTGAAACTAATCATTGGGAACGAGATGGAAATTGCAACAAACACTATCGAGTGCCGTCGGTGAACACATCGACAACTAATGTATAAAACACAAGCACACTCGATTTGATGGGCTTTTCCGCAATTCCGCTCACTCTCACTCCCTTTCGTTCGGCTCACAAAACCAAACAACATGCTCTTTCATGCTGTGTAATGATACGCAAACATTTGGTAGCAACGACAAACAAAATTACCATTTTCATTTAATTATTTTATTCTCAAAGCGTTTAACTTTTGATTCCATAAATACTTTGATTTTCATCTTTTGCTCGCTCGTGATTTCTTTCTCTCTCTCTCCGTTTCTCTCTGTTTCTCTCTGTTTGTCTGGTGATTTTCCGCTGTGTGTCTCAACTTTCTCGACGAAACCACCCGCTTTTTTATGACTCGCCCAAGCACTGCAATTTCATTTAAAATTTCGTTCCATTTTAAAAGGATTTAAATAATCCCGTCGTATTTTTTTATTTACCCACCAAAATGTGTTGTTTGCGTTTTTTCTCCGCCATTCGCACGCACACACATTTCCTTGAACTGTACAAAACAAATAATCATTTAGAACAGCGCTTTCCAAGCAGATTCGTTTGTTACGGTAGATGAATCATATTTGAGAATGAAAATTCGACGAAAATTGACTGAATGATGAATACAAATCTTGACTTATCAAAGCGAAAAAAGAAGTTTACTCGCTGGTTGATGCGTCTGCCAATGAACTTCGTTCAAATGGTTTTGAAGAGCAACCACCTAAAAATCGTTGTGTGCGTGAGGGAGTTTTGTGAAGCCTGTATAGCCCATAGTCAGACACACTGACTTTTTGTGTGCTTGATTTTTGCAATTCAACATTCAAGACTCGCAATTTTATACTAGAGCACTTATCCTTCTTTTTTCTCTCGAAAACCAGAGAAAGTGCGAGATAGAGTGAGAAGTCAAGAGATAGATAACGAAAGAGTGAGAGTAAGAGAAAGAGATTGAACTGATGACTATTTCTCGTTTTCATTTGCTTATTCATTATCATGATTGCATATTATCCACTTTTGTCTGTTGCTTCCACTCTTATGTCACTTTTCTTTATGTTTTTTTTCCTCTTCTATCTCTCATTCTTTTTATTGTCTCTCGCAGTCATGTGTTTTTGTGTGCATTGAATATAGAAAAAAAAATAAAGAAAAAAATATTTCCAGTAAAATCAACTCACCAATTGTACCCAATTTTATTCATCGTGTTTGATGAATACATTCAATGAAGACACTTTAGTTCGTCAAGAGAGAGGGAGAAGCACAGAGTGAAAGAACACATGAAAGACATGCTGTGAAAGAATGCTTGATTTGTAATTTGTTTCGTTGTAATCAGCGTCCCCTTTTATTTTACTTAATGAAAATTCATTCACCAAAATACTGTTGCTGTCGAAACGCCCTGCAATGAACGAATCAACAAAACACTTTATCGTTCGCACTCGTTGCCCTTTATTAAATCATACACATCTCTTTATATATTTGGCAACACAAGCAAAACTCTTTGTGCAACAAATTAGTTAGCAGAGGTTTGATCGTTGTGTTATTGTTTCGCATAATTTTTGTTGGTTTTTTGTTTTACATTATTTCGTCTACAATCCATAATTTTTTGTTTCTTATCAAGATTTATGTGAGTTTTCATTGCATCCAGCAGAAATACTCTATGTATTTTGAACCGAGAGTGTTGTGAATACACTGCTTTTTTGTTTTGTCATCATCACAGTAACAGTCAGCCAGCGAATGCATTCATCCCGAAAAGAAACCCGTTTCTCCGTACACATCTGATGATATTCTCCCCCAAAGCACAAGTCTCGTTTTAAAAGTAGAAGAAAAAACAGCTTTGTAATATGATTACAATCAAATGTGATTCAAGACAGGGGTAAGAAACAATTCCCCGAACAGAAATGCACACCAAAGGAAATATTTACTTTCGCCGTCTACAAACATTGTTTGCTAGCATTCTTCATCCCAACAGATTATGTTGAACAAACGAAGAAAAAAATAACGCGACCGTTGTTGAATAAAAACAAACCGAAAATCCACACAATGATATCAACTGTTTGCATCAACGATGAAAATAAAAGTTATTAAATCAAATAAATTGTGAGACATCTAAAATTAACCAACAAACTTGGAATAGAATTAGTGCGCCGTGGCATTCACACTTCACTGATGATATCCTCAAGATACATGTATAGTATTTCGTTCGATATTCACATAAGAGTTTTTCATTTTTGTATAAATACCCAAATGCATTTTGGTACAGATTTACATTTTCGATATGTTATTAATATGTTATTGTCCAACATATTTATTATTATGTTATGTTGGGATTTTTTTTTATCTTGATAACGTTATTAAGATTCAGCATAATAATAACATAATATGTTACGAAATATGTTGGATTTTTCTTAATAATATGTTAATAAGATACCAACATATTTGCAAATATATTATTAAGATCCGCCATCTTAATAATATGTTATTAACTCAAATAATAATATATTATTAAGATGGCGGATCTTAATAATATATTTGCAAACATGTTGGTATCTTATTAACATATTATTAAGAAAAATCCAACATATTTCGTTACATATTATGTTATTATTATGCTGAATCTTGATAACGTTATTATAATGTGATGGTGGACCAAATATATCGGCATAATTATTATGTTATTAAGTATAGTTAATAATATGTTATTGCCCGTAAATCTGTACAGTTTGGTGATCTCAATTGTGAATGTAAAACAAAATGATGGCAACGACACAAGTGGTCATTTAGTGTCGCTAAATTGGTTCATTGGATTTTCAATCGAATTGATGCCAAATGTATGTACAAAATCCAATCAATATCCTCAAGACTATTGATAATAAATCCGTATTGAATAAACATTCTTAAAATAATGTGTGTGATTGTGATTTATTGATTATATTATAAATATTACGAAATAAATGTGTTCGGATCATTCCGACAAATTAAAAGCATTCAACATCATTGTCTTTATTCGTCCTAAAACCCAAATTGATCAATTAATCTACTCTTTGCTTTACATTATCTTAATTTCTTCTAGTCAATTTCATCCAGAGCAACGATGATTGCTTCATCCAAGATGTTCGCAAAAAAGGGTTTTTGACCTGTTCGTTTTGGTATATGTGTAAAGTGACAGCTGTAACTAATGATGTGTTGTCATCGTATGTATCGATATCAAGTTCATCACATCGATTGGATAATCGTCCAAACCCAGACCATTGATCACAGCACCGGCCAAATATTTTCTCATACCAAATCGTGTCTTCTATGTAATTAAACGACTCCATTCGATTAAAAAGTCATAGCTTTTTTCTCATTCATTGCAATTCCTTCACATTGTTATTGAAACTTGTTGCTGTTTGCATACAACAGAAAAGAGAGAAAAAGCGAAAACGATCCATGGAATTTCCACACACGGAAAGATAATATTCACATTTATATTTAACACGTATACACGTAATATATAACACGAAACTCTGTGGAAACACCAGAAAATGCCAAGGGGCAATCTAGGGGGCAATTCACTAAAAAGTTGTATTACTTTTTTCACGTTGTATTACTTTTTCAGCAGCGTTGTATTACTTTTGAGCGATTTGCCCTTGAAAAATGCACTGGAATCGATTTTAAGACAATATGATAAATCAGTTAGGTAAATAATCGGAAGTGATCGAGAAGAGAACATTGCTGTAATATTTCGAAGCTCCTTCTCAAAATAATAGAAGTAGGAGAAGTTATACGTTGTACGGAATGACCTGAATCACCTCTCCTTGAGCTGGTGTGTCGATATTTTCATTTTTCGAGCGACGAATGAACCAAAACCACCGAAGTGTGGAGTAATAAATGAGTTCGATGATGCTCAGCAACGAAATTCCCATAAATAATCCAAGCAGGCCACCACAAATCGCCAAGAAATTGGTCAGAGTGTACATTTCTGTTCGTTTTAATAAGTTAACGTGTTGATCATTGAAGAAGATGGACAGTCGGGACTGTTGAACTCTATGTATAATGAATTTTAAGAACAAAGAATCTTTATTTTCACAAAGAAATTGAAATAAAACCGTTAAATATTTTTACCCTGACTCATTCAATCGAATCCCGCTAATTCTATTCACGGCTGCAGAATCAAATGTAACACGATCGATTTCTGCATTGTATTCGATTGAAGTGCATGCAGGCAAACAGGTGCAATTAACCAAATTGATAGCTATTGCTAGTTCAATTGAAGTTAAAAATTCGACTTTCTCATAGCATTCGATGCTAGCTGCACCACAGACTTTTGTGCTATTATCTCCTGTAATAAAAACATTTATACCCATTATATTTATTGTATATATTAATCGATATGAACGATAATTCCAGCAAAGCAATAAAATCTATGAATATTTGGTTTGGTAAATTCATAAGCTCATACTTGGCGACGAATATTTTACACATCCACATTCTGCAATCGTGTTGTTCGTGATACATTCTGCCTTACAATTTTCTTCAGTGTAGATGTTGAAGAAGCGCAATTGACGCTCAGAACTAAAAAAACAGTCACGTTCAATTGGATCATAGTTGCGTAATCCACTTGAAGTGGTGATCATATTGGGTTGGATCGTAATTTGTGTATCGTCTGATGGGAGTACACGAAATGGACGATGTGATGTTGTTAATGCTTCACCAGGTGTTGTTAGGTACACCGTGAATCCTTGAATAGAAAGCGCGTTACACTGATCGTAGTGATCGCTTTCACGATGCAGAAGTGATACGTCGAGAGAAGCCTGTCGCCCTGAATTCATCACACGAAATGGATATTTAGATGATTTGGTATCGTATCCACCTTCTAAACTCCAATGTGATCCATCCAAATTATCTTTGACGGACATCACTTGCGTAGTTATTCTAAAAATATATTTTTGAATTTTATACCTCAGCCGACAATGTATTTAACTGAAATTCTCATCACACTAAGTGCAACATACTCATTGGTATAAACCTCATGCGAGTTCAAAGCATTGAAAGTGAAACAAAGACCTTCATTCGTTATTGTTGATGATATGTACTTGGAACAATTGAATGTTTTTCCCAGCCACCAGCATTTTAAAAATACTTCATCGAGTTGTGGTGCAATTTCTTGAATTACACCATAGATGGACTCATTCGCGTATAGATCTACCTACAATAGGTGTGAACCTGGTTTTCAAATACACTTACACTGTGCAACATTTTTTCGGTCATGGATGAGGGACTCACTTTAACTAATCGCTCCTGAGAGTACTTAC